TATAGGATTTACAGGTCGTCGGAATATTCCATTAACAGCCTCCCTCGCAAAATCAGCATACCGATCAAGTAAATCAGGGCATGAAACTATAAATAAGAGATCCATCGGTATCGGAGCCGGTATTTCAATAGCCGGTATTGAAAGGTGGCTCAATGAATAGAAAAACGGTGGCAGAAAGTGAACAACAAAGTACTCAGCAACATAAAATGTGCAACGCAAAGTTTGAGCAGCGCCATCTCGGCTAGATAGAAGGATGTAGCACAGGAGTGCCAGCCAACAATTGCGGCTCAAGTGAACACATCCTCATCATCATAATGGTTTGCTTGAGAACCGCGTCTTGCCAACGCCCGGCCCCGCTTCCTACATCTCGCTCTGTCACGCCTGCCTACATCCTTCCAGAGCTAATGAGAAAGCGCGATTGTTTAACTCGTAAGTAATAATAACAAGATAAACACACTCCATGTGATTATTTAGATGTTTACGATCAACAGATCAGGACATTTAACTCGACGTCTGCCACCGAAGACAAGCTGGTGGCAAATGACAAAAAAGAGGATACGTACGGATCTTCTTTCACCTGTTTCGGTCCTGTTAGAGGAAACTTACCACGAAATAGAGGTAGATTTAAATAAAAAAATACTATCGATAGATGAAATATATGTTTCTTATGTCGGAGATTTTTTTTTGATTTTGTTTAAGTTACTGGTACTAGCTTGATTTAACGAAACACCGGTTATTATTTTGAGTTGGCAACGTACCTGCACTGCCGCTCATATGTTTCAGATGTCCATGGGCGATGATAATCACTTAACATCATGTGAACAACCTGCTCGCTTTCCAACCTTTCTATATAAAAATGAAACCAAAACCAATAAACTGGAAGAAACCAGTTCTATAACCATAAAAGCTTAATTTATTATTAATATTATTATCCTAACATTTTGCCAAAATACGTAATATTAAAAGCGTGGAATTTTGAAATTACAATGGCCAATACATTATTCATGGCTTTTCACAAAGTAACCCGCGATATGTTGCTTAATTGTCTTCAACTTAATCCACTTTAAATTCGACACATTGTACGCAGAGATCAAATGCGTGTAAAACTTTAAATGATTGCTCTATTTGAATAAGCTGTCCGTTTGATTTAATCGCCTGAGAGCCAATTAATACTTAACTTAATGATAATTAATACGCACCTGTGCGGCGAACTGCCCAATTATTTAATTTAATCAACAATTATCGTTTTGTACCGATGCATAAGCAATTATGTGTGATGCCTTCAAGTGAGTTATAAAAGAGCGCTGCTGTGTATGTAAATAATTGAATAAAAAAGAAAATAATCCAATCATGATGTGTTTAATTCAATCATTGAAATGAAGATTCTAAGAAATTAATACATACATATTATATAGCCATATACCAATAAAGGCATGATTATTGATACATAGATTTGACACATAAATGAAATTTTTGTAAGTATTATGTAATTGACTGTCTGTCTTTTTGATAAACTTAAAACGGAGATTCAATGTATATCCTACTCCTCGCACCATTATCCTATGTATTGAGGGTCATGATCTCTTTTGACAATCTTCTCATGATGACTAGATGGTGACAAAGTGTTGTTTCAAGTGTTGATTTGGTAGCATTGGAAGCTATCTTAAAATCTGAATTTCAGTGAAATAGTACCGCATGAAAGTTGTTAAATAATACTAATATTAAACCTTAATTCTTACCTTTTAATTATACTTAAATAGATTTAACTTTTAGTTATATTTAAATAAAAAACATAACAAACGTAACAGGCTGGGCATTTGTTTGCAATCACTTGGCTCGGGGCAAATTGCCACGAGGCAAGGCCGACGAATCAAAGTTCGCTTATTTGCACATAAGACTAACCCTTGGACGTTTTAAGAGCAATACGACTACTACGATAGCCGTGCCTCGGGCTGTCGACTCATTGTTTCTTTTTCAACTGTTTAGAAACTAATATTTTAATAAAACTTCACTAGATAGTATAAAACAGATTAGTCCCGGTGTCTGTCTGTCCCTATGTATGCTTAGATTTTAAAACTTCGCAACGGATCTTGATACGGTTTACGGTTATTAGATAGAGAGATTCAAGAGGAAGGTTTACATGTATAAAACATTCCACCCGTCCGAAGCCGGAGTGGGTGGCTAATTCATTATAAAATCGATATTCCACAGTCCTTGAAAATAATTAATCGTAATAAAGATACGTAATTAATTTTAAATAAAGATTCGCTTAAAGGTTTCATCTTCAATTTGCGCCATAAGATTCTAATTTCTTACGTAGCTATTACATACTTTAATTGTGTGTACGCCCTAATATTAAGTTCTTTTGAACCAATTCCAACGTTTTTACGAATGGTTCTAATAACTTAAGACTAGACTAGATAACGACGAATGCTATAAGACAGCCTATATGTATATGTCCCAGTGCTGGGCTATTCTCTAATGTCAAATGTTATTAGATTTGTCCAATTGCCTCCTCTGGACAAATGTTATTAGAGGATAGTCCACCACTCGACCTTGCTATTATTTCAAAATCCTGGTTTCCTCACGATTTTTACCTTCACCGCTGAGCACCTTATAAGTCAGCAAAAATTGCAACTAACAATATCATGGGTATCGGCATCGGGACTTTAGCTCAGATTGTAAAGCAAGCGCACGGACACTGAGTTGTCACGGTAAAGTATGACTTTATTTAGTTTCCTTCGTTATTGTGCCTTCCTGGGGGTAAAGTAAATGTCTATTACTACTTGTTATTGTGCATTCTTTGGGTATGTTTTCATTCGTAACTTCTTTTTATTTGCTATCCCTAGCAGTGCCTGTTATGGCAGCCCTGGGTAGAGTTTATAATGCCGGTCGCGACCACGCACGCGTCGCCCAATCTAATTACCGCTCCCGCACCACTATGGTCTTGATTAGCGGCCGATAGTGATGTCCAATCGGGCGACTTAGTCGACACTATCGATAGATTTGTCAATAACACCATTGATCGATACTTGAACGAGTTGTATAATGTTTTTCATACATACAGATTATATTAGGTGATTGTATGTTTTTTTTTAAATATTAAACGCGATTAAATGTAATTGTTCGTTTAAATACCCAACACAGATTGACGATTCAATAAGCTAAAAAATCACGAAGTCTTGCGTTGAAATTAAGATTATGGTCTTATTAAAAATAAGATTATAAAAAAAGTAAAGTCAGCCTACACATGTCCCACTGCTGAGCAAAGGCATAGTCCACTACGCAGCCCTTCTGCGGTTTGGCGGAATTCACATACCTTTGAAATATTTCTTTTTTTTGTTATTATTTCGAAAATATGCAGGTTTCCTCACGATGTTTTCCTTCATCGCTGAGCACCTGATAATTCAGCATTTAAAATTGACAATTTCATTGGTGCTGGCACCGGGGATCGAACTCAAGTTGCTCGAGTATATTAAATTAAAGGCGAGCGCCCGGACACTGAGCTATCACGGCTCTCTAACTAATAACTAACAACATGAATTATTTTCTTTTAATCTTTAGCTGAAAATTCTCTTTAAACTGGGCAATTCGATGATGAGAAATTTTCAACAGGTTCAATTGACAATAGACATAAAATGCAATCGTTACGATACTTACCAAATTATATTATTTGCATGATTGCTGCATACCCAACGTGAAGGTTCATATCAAGCTCTTAGAATCTGACTGTTCCACGAGGTCTGATAGTTAATATATAGATTCAATAATGTATCGACTTGAAGCTTCAATACTTAATTCGTAAATAGCTTTTAGAGTTATCGATAAAAAAAGTCTCTTCACACGTCGCAACACTACACTTCTGATTGAGCTTTGCGTTTAACAAGACTTCCTACTTAACGGAGCCAACGATAACTTCTTCGTTTATAATCATATTCTGTCATTTTTGTAACCGCTTTTCTCATACCGCCAGACCTGCTAAGTTGTGTCTGGCTTGTGTATTTGTAGCTTAATAAACAGAAGATTAAGTTTTTAGCTTAAAATACCCTTTTATACTTTTAAACAAAATAGGCATTTCATTGCTAATACCTCGGTGGTGTCGTTTATAATGGATGAAACAATTTTAAATTTGCAGGACTTACAAAGTAATACAGAAAACTAACTAATATCAGAATTTTAATGAGTATTCAAGAGCACTACTTCTACTTCACTACTATTGCTAAGACTCCGCTGTATGTTTGTCTGTCACCAGGCTGCTTCTCATGAACCGTTATAGTAAGACAGTTGAAATTTTTACAGATGATGTCTTTCTATTGCCGCTATGGCAGCCCAACCTAAATATATGATATTTAGGTGGGGCTGCCATACAACAGACATGATTATCTAGCCATTTTTATATATAATGGACACTTGACCAGTTTTTAAAAATATTAATTTAAAGAATTAATACTTAATTCACCTAAATGACACATAGATACATCATTAGTCTCAACTTTCGTTTGTACTATAAAATAATAACGCTCCTAAGCAGTTCTCATTTATAACCAATTCAAAAGAGAAGCTTAAAAAAACAACTAGCAGTGTGATCATTAGATACACATAAACGCATTCGTTGTAAGTATTTACCAGACAAATCGCGCCCCTTTGAATCTTGAGTACACAAACAAAAACTACGCTTGTTGCTGAACACGGGCATGTGTTGTTGGCTTACAATGTGACGCGTTAGCTCGACCGAATCGCCACATTAGCACCGAGATCCGATAACAACGCCTAATGTTCCTACACCGAAGGAAATATCGAAAAAAATAAGTAATGAAAGAAACCTCCAAAAAGAGGTCCCATACTCATCTCGCATCTGACAAATTTCGGACAACAAAGCCGCACTGAATGATATAAGGGTTAAACGGATCGGCCAGCAAGGGCTCCAAGATGATCGGGAAAATTGAGAATCCTCAAAGACCATTCCAAAAGGAGCTTTATTGCGTACAGCGTAAAGGTCAGGGGGTGGTCGACGAAATTATTTTGGGGTGGATGGAACAATTGTCAATAGCGAAAGGGCTATAGAAAGGCGGCGGCTTTGATGGCGTGTCGGATGTCTCAATCGGGAAGGCTTTGCCGCGCACCGACGGTCCCCTCCCACACGGGGCCATTCTGTGAGCCTTCGATATCGGATTCTGTCGATAATTGTACAATTCATCCTTTCGTTTAACGAGCAACGACGTGCGGATTACCAATAACCGACTCTTAATAATTACGTCAATGTCTTGACTATTTGGCATTCTGTTTATACAAGTGCAATGAAATTTATCACATAGTTCTCCATTGGCTCTCAATTTTTGATGGCTTATAATATCTGAAATAAACAGTCTTAAAAAGATTCACAAATTTTAATCAGCCCAACAACCTCACATGTTATGCTTTTAGAATTAGAATCCTTCCTACATATATCTAATATTTACAGAATATCACCGTCGCATGGAAAGCATGTCCAAACACAACAAAATACAAACACGTTGTGGAGTTACATCTCCATTCAAATACCCACACGGAATAATTGTTAACAATAAATCAGGGATGAGCGTTGAAAGGGTTAATACGGCGAGGACAATAATGGTGCCCTCTACCCCCTTTCCAGGAATAAGCTGTAATGGACTCTATGCCTTGTGCTTTAGGTCGAAAGCCGGTTAACAGCCTCCTCATGAATGGCATTCTTCTCGAAATTATTGATTCGATTGTCTTCATAATGCTGCTCTAATGTACACTTTTACGTCTTTAAGCCGAAAGCTAAATCAGCGGCGATCGTTTCATATACGATTAATGTATTAATTGCGTACATCGTTGGTGTCACTCGACACATTAAATAATTTCCATGAAATCGATGGCGTTAACAAAAAGTTTCTGAGCTGGGGAACTCCCTAAGATTCACAGAAGACGGGCGTGAAGCAGTCAGATTATTTTGTCTTTTGTTCTGTGTTATTGTAATTCTGTATTTTGAAAGTCAACTCCTTCAAAATCCTTAAGGAGAGATCACTTAGTATCAAGTAAGCCATGCGGCTTACTTGATACTCGTTTACCACATTCTTTAAAATGGCGAACGATTTCTTTGCGAAACTAACATTGTGGAAGACACAAATTGTCGAAGGCCCGAGGTCTTGACTAGGTTTTATAGTCACGCGAACACAAAGACAATTAATCCTTTGGCGAGAATAACCCTTTGCCTCTATCGCAGTAGATAGACTTTGTTTCCAGGCCAGGCCATTATAGTCATATATATATATATAAATACAGACGTTTTAATGCACTAGTGTTCCAATAGACTCTCTTTGATTTGTTCTAATTTGTTTAGTAACAGGTTAAGAAAAATGCTTCTAGTGCCGCAAATATAATAGAGAACATATTTGTACAACAGAAGTGACATACGTCTTCCGAAAAGTTAAATTGAAGTTTGTACAAGCTATGTATGAAAATTTTGTAAAGTGGCTCAAGTTACAGCTTACAATATCTAATATAAAACATATCTTTTGAAGAAGAATAGTCAACGTGATAAACATTACACAAAATCCCAATGCCAATTAAGGCAATGAAGCCGTAATATGTAACATAAAAATCAATAACAACTAACTTGAAAACAACGCATTGTGCTCTATGTCATACATAATTCCAGTAGTTGTAACTAGCTCAAGTTATAATACAATCAAAGCGTCAACGATAACTTCACCTAGCAGCAGATATAACTGAGCGTCTCCGACAAAGCTAACTGGAGTTGTAAGCGAAATCCAAGTTGAGATGAGTCAACTTATGAGTTAATCAAAGCCGCTGAGCAACCCGAGGCGGCTTTAGGCGCGCATCTCGAGCGGTCGGCCGACGCGATTTGTAATCTAATAAAGTCCTAACCCCCGGCGCGCCTCGCCCCGCCGCGTAATCCTCCTCGACGCGATCACTAAACCGGAAAACGCAAATTATACAACAAAGACGTAACACATCTGCGCAGGCGCATCCAGCGTAGAGGACGCGCGAAATGCACGCGCGCGACTTGGAGCCCTACGCCGCTGGGGATAAGGGGCGCGCCGAGGCGGGGCTTGGAGATTTATAATCGATACAAGATATGTTTAATAAACGCAAAAGGAGTCAGCGGCGCGGACGGGCTCGAGTTGAGTGTCTTGCGGTGACCATGTGACGTGTGGCGAAAGGTAGACCAGTCCGGACTCGAAACGTGATGAGTATTTAAGTTTAGGACCCATGTTTGGTTTTAGTACGCAATACTACTGTGACGCTTGTTTTTTGTTAAATTTATCCTTTTATAAAATTGCACTCGCCATAACATTGTCTTCGGTACACGAAGAACGATAGATACAAAATCAGTCAGTACGTAGTATTTGTCATTGACATTGACGGAAATTTACAGTCTACTTCGTACGTTTTGTATTCAACTGCCGAATCTCCTTGAATATCACAAACGCTATCATCATCGACGCCAATCTGGTGCAATCGACTGGACGTATGCAGTTTCTTAGTCCATTTTAAATAACGCTCGTCCCGGACTCATCCCGAATCGTGGACACGAATTCCTCGCGTAATAATTCGTAGCGCCGAAGACCACATCTTATACCAATAAGTAACACTTAGCTAACGCTGCAGAGGGCTTCATACGCCACTCCGATCTCCACGCACTATTTAACACGGCCCGCCACCAGCCCCGGCGGGGCCCTGAAAAGGGACCAATAAAAAACAATAATCCCACTTTCGTACGTCCCGTGAATTATCTATCATCGCTTTAAAAAGGAAGCATAAGTAGTAAAGAAAGTGCTTTTTAATATTTCACGAAATACCCCTTTTGTGAAAAGACGCAAATAAAAAAGTAGTCAAAGGGGGAGCGTCGTTTTTTTTAGGCGATTATGTGAAATGAATATCTCATGCGTTTCGGTACGCTGCCCACCAATGGGTTTGAAGATACACGTACCAGTAATCGGATTTTTTAAAGTGCCTTCACGTATTTTGAGTTAGGTTATTTTGAGGATACGCGACGCTTGGCGCATTGTGAATATTTCGCACAAAACATTGTTCTTGTGACCGTTACAAATGTATGGACTCTTGCTACAATAATAAAAACGGATATGAAGGTTTCTATCGTGCTTTTATCTGGCATAAAATGTATCATATCTATCATAAAATACGCGAAGTGTATGGTAGCTGTATGTACGAGTATAATAGGTACATTTTCCCAGTGGAAAAGTTATTAGTAGTTATTACGTTATAGTGTGCCGTGATAGCTCAGTGTCCGGGCGCTCGCCTTTAATTCAATATATATCTACTCGAGCAACCTGAGTTCGATCCCCGGTGCCGGCACCAATGAAGTTTTTAACTTTAAGTGCTGAATCACGTGCTCCGCGGTTAAGGAAAACATCGTGAGGAAACCTGCATATTTCCGAAATAATAACAAAAAAATGTATTTCGAAGATATGTGAAGTCCGCCAATCCGCAGTGGTAGACTATGCCCTGATACCCTCTGTATAGAGGAGGCCTTTGCCCAGCAGTGGGACATGTATAGGCTGTTACTTTACTTTACTTTACGTTATTTGTGAAAAGGCTATACAGTAATTCCTTAATTAAAAAGAATACCATAAAAGAATGAAGTCCATCAAACAAGGCCTTCATCGATGAAGCAGACTTCAGCGAAGAAATGCAGTGACCTGGTTTGGCGCTAAACCGCGTGGGCTAGTTTTGTTAGATAAAGTTAAATTAAATGAAAATATTCAATTTTGATTTTTAATTCCCGATGTGATGATACATACAGCTTTCCAGCTTTCATCGTCACGGGATAGAAACGTGATAAAATTACGTAAAACAGGTTCATTTAATACACGTATTAAATGAATCCGGTTTATATATGTTATACGTAACAATCGCGTAAAATCAAGATATCAATATGACTTTTTGTGATTAATAAAATTAAGTTTTATTTGAACTTCTCAATTCCACTATATTTTTTTTAATGTTTTTTACCTCTCAGTCGAAACTGAGTTAACCGATTTTGATGTTTCTTTTTCTATTTGAAAGCTGGTGCTTCCCATGTGGTCCCATATTAATTTCATTGCTATTGGATCTTTTAAAATTAATACAAGGATATTTGAAGTCGGTTTTGGTTTTCTTTAATACAAAAATGGTCTTCAATCGGATCGACACCGCCATGAGATGAAAACAAGACTGTCGAAGTCGAAGCGGGGAAAATAAGACATCGCCGATTTTTTTTTTTTTATGGGTATAGGAGGCAAACGAGCATGTGGGTCACCTGGTGATAAGCGATCACCGCAGCCCATGGACATTTGCAACATCGGTTGAGTCGCAATTGCGTTGCCGGCCTTTAAATTGTCCGATTGTCCTAAAAATATTTTTTCGCATGTATTGTATCAGCTCAAGTCAACTCACAGCCTTCAACCGTCTGGCGCATCAAACAGGCCGATATTTATTAAAAAAAAAAATAAATACCATTTAATAAGCTGTTTGATAGATTGCCAACTCTTTAAAGGCTTCGACCTTCCCTCAATACAAAAACTACCTCAACTTGCAATGAGAGAAATAATACTGGATAAACAAATCAGTCCCATGGCTATACATCTATGTAACAGAAGAGTCTTTAATACGTTCTAATTTTTGCTTCAGTTCCAATTACGAAAATAATACTAGAAAATGCATTCTCTCAGAAATTCAAGCCTAAGCCTATAAGGCTTCTCTTTCTTTCTTTTTATACGTACCAAAATGACCTCTAATTTTCGAACTAAACAATCACAAAGTCAAAATGGCTTTCGCAATAAAACTGCAATGCCCGGTTTCTGAAACACTGATCATCGTACATGTTAACTAATCAGCTGTCAAATGGCTTTTCAAATGTCATTTGAGGTGCTAAAAGAATGGTTATTTGAATTAATCATTCTGAACATTAAGAAGATCATTCTGATCGATTCAGAGAGTTTCACCATGATCAGTGTTTCAGAAACCCGGCGTAAGTATATATAATTGTAGGGCATATTTTCATGTACTCGTACTAATACGCTGTAAGTTTCATATATTAAATAAATCGAAAGTTACTGATAACACCGAAAATAGAACCAAAGAAATAGTATGTACCTAATTTCAGTACTTAATTTTCGCCATTGACTGTGGAACTGTTAATAATACAAAAGCCTTGAAGCGACGCGGCCGGCGATCTATCTCGGCCACGATATCGCGATGACGGCTGTTGTTTGTATATCGATTAATTAATAAATCGAGTTTCGAATCGAGACATCGAGATGTAACAACGATACGCGCCGCCTCTCTAATTGACTCGAGCCGCCAAAAAAGAGCTAAAACAACTAACGCTCCTTTGCTCTCACCATCTGCACGAAAAACTGCACTATCCACCTTATTTCTCTCACAATAAGGGCCTCGTGATTCAGGAATGGAGACATGAGCGTAAATAGTTGACGTCTTCAAAAATAGATAACAACGAACACTAAATGCCGGGCATTTTACCTGTCATATTATTAAAAAATAAATAGTCGGCCCGATATATTATGGGAATCGATATTTTTATGATTAATGGAGGCCAAACTCGATTATCTTGTTGACGATACGGTATCTGGCTTGATGGATCGAGTTTTTTTGCGAATGAAAAAGCTAACATCGCGTCGCCCGCGTCGCGGACAATGGTAACAGGGTTTTTGTTCGCATTGTGCTACATTAGCGAGTTTTCGGCGGTTTTTGTGTTTTTGCGAATCGGTTAAGAGTGGATTCACCCGTTCACACCTGTTGGAGGTTCGCACGAAGCGCGGGTTCAAACGCGTCGGCGTGTTTGACATCCAAAACCGGGGTAACGCGATATACACACTCACAAAGGGGCTTATCCGTGCAATATTGCCGAGTTAGACAATAAACATCGTGAGATTGGCGCGCAATGAAGTTTTTCGGAGGTTATATTGTGAAGGCAATATTCACTGCTTCGAAAATACACTTCACACAGAGATTCACCATGATGAAACTGGATCCTGGAGTTAAAAAACGATACATAAGTTTGCTCATATGTATGACTAAAGAATCCTTAACAATACTTAAACGAAATTTTACACTATTAATGGTACTTTTTATATGAAGATAACTTCACAATGTACCCTTCAACTTATAAAATAACCGAATATTAATATTACACGTGTGTGCGACTTTTTCAAGCAACTTCTGTGGTTAATGTATCGTTTGTTTGCTTTATTAGGATTCGATGGAATTCTTGGCGTTGACATATCGAGCGGGGTTCAATTTGGTAGGAAAATTCAGGCTGGCTTTTAAAAAGCTCGCTGTCCCTAATAATAGAGCGTGACAGTTTTTCCTGAGGGCCAATCGTTTACAACTCTATAAAGCAAAGATTCGGCCACAAATGGGACACTGTCCTCACCTGTGGACTGGGACACCAAAATAAATTTCCTATCGCACATATCCCTTTTGATTACTCACAGGCGTCGTCGCATCGGGAATGAGTTCATCGCGGCGATCGTGCCCGAGTGGTGCCGTTAATTCGCGTCGATGAGGAATCCGCAGACAGCTAATACGCCGCGTAAAGGCCGATTGAAAAGGGCCCCTTGTGTCGCGGTGTCCGATTACGGGCCATACCGCGGATTGGATTAAGCGGGAGGTGTCGGGGCCCGCAGCCCAAAGGCCATTGGGTAATGAAAGGGCGCATTCAGACACGGCGGGGCACCGCGCTCCGCGATAAATATTTTCCTCTCCAGTGGCACAATATGTCTGCGGAATGTCGGGAGGCTTTGTTTCGACGACCCTTTTGCGGTCGCGAGGTGCTGGCAGAGACGTGCCCTTTAGCGTTCCGGAAGCGATGGACGCCATTGACGCCCTCCGAATGAACGTGTTCAGCATGTCCCGTGTGGAAATCAAACCCGCGAGCAAAATATATAGCTATTAGCCCAATAGCTGAGCAAGTGTTTCCTCCGGCTCTTTCTTACTAGATTTGATTGAACGCTGAACAGGAGATAGCTTAAAATACCTATTCTTTTTTTAATGAAAAAACACGTTTCACGTACGTTTCATTGCATCAAGAACATTTTTTAAATTTATTTTCGTACTTTAAATTCACCATAACTCTATAGGAGTATTTTTATTTCCTTTGCCTTACCTGGCGCCGACACAAGTAGGTATGTGGTAACAGTCTGTGTGTTAATTTAATCATTTAATCTAATAATCATTTGGGCTCTCAATCATCTCAGGCTCGAGCCTTTGTCAATATTGACTAGTAAGTTTTTCGCTGTTTCAAGGTCTAGATAAACTATTATTTGTATTCATATCCGCGCACGGAATTAAATGAGACAGATTGATGCACGCTGCAGTCCTCCGTTAATGATATGTCACATTGACAGCTCTTTTAATGCCCACTCTCTGAAATATTGTGCGTCCTTTACTCATACGACGCTTATTCGTTAGCGATAACACACAGATATACAGGAGGTAAAAAAAGTCACGAACTTACTCTAGATAGTGATGTGAAAGATTTATCTCTAAGTACTGATATTACATTTATCATAATATAAAATGACTAATATATTCAAACAAGTTACAAAATAATTTGTATAAATATTCTAAGAGCCGTGATAGCTCAGTGTCCGGGCGCTCGCCTTTAATACAATATACACGAGCAACCTGAGTTCGATCCCCTGTGCGGGCACCAATGAAGTTTTTAAGTTTAAGTGCTGACTTATCACGTACTCCGCGGTGAATATTATTATATCCGCCATATTTTCGAAATAATAACAAAAAAAATATATTTCGAATATATGCGAAGTCCGCCAATCCGCAGTGGGGCCGCGTGGTGGACTATGCCCTGATACCCTCCGTATAGAGGAGGCCTTTGCCCAGCAGTGGGACATTTATAGGCTGTTACTTTTTTAATTTTATTATAAAAAGAGGCTCAATTATTGGATCTGTGCCATCAACTCATTCGTATCGATCGAAAAAGCAAATACGACAAAGTCATGCAGACTTTTACCGCACTCTTATTAGTTGAACGGGCTTTAATAAGCCACGAATGCGCAAGAGCTGAGCGTCCTGAACATGGAAACTGTTTTAGGCGTCGGCCGCCCCTCAGAGAGGCCGCCGGAATGAACCCGGGCCGCTGCGGTCGACTGCACACGCCGCGGCCGACATCACCATTGTGGGCTTATCTCCGTTCGCGGATAAAATAAGATTAAAACCCGCGTTAATCCTTTAAATTGAAACCTGGCCAGCCGGCGCGATAGCTACAATTACTTTTACATTTCGACACAAACAATTTCGATGGGGATTTTAAGTGGGGTGCACCAGATCATTCCAAACGTTCACTGATCTGATGGCGACGTTTAAGATAGCAGCGGTACGAGGTTGAAGAATTAAAGGAGCTTTATGAACTTTTTTGATGTATGCGTCGTGAAAGTGTTGTGTTAGCGTCGGGTAATGACGCAATGGCGTCGCCTTCTTGAGATGAGAAAATGATGAAAATCACTACATTATATAAAATAAAGTCGTCCCGCTGTCTGTATGTCCCTATTTATGCTGCGGTTTTTCTTACTATATAGAGCGATTCAAGAGGAAGCTTTGTATTATGTGTAATACATTGCACCCGTGCGAAACCGGGGCGGGTGCAATGTAGCTAGTGACATGTAAACCAACCAGTGATGAATAGCAAAACTTCAAAGTGGTTTCAACTTCTTACCTCTACACGCACATTCAGTGCCCTGATCTTACAATACTCCTCATCTCCATAGCAGGTCAACATTTTCTTACGTATAATTTTTGTTACACATATCAGAAGGATTATTATTTGTTCTATAATTTTTTTCCACTGTCCATAGCCGCATATAGTTTCTTCATCATCATCACCATTAATATTTAAAAAACATTGTCGTATTTTTGTCCCATATTTTTTATGACTTCAACCTAAAATGGTTCAAGCCATGAATTATACAAAGTACTTATTTAGTAAAGTCTCTTTTAAAACATTGTAATAATAGCTCCACCTGTCACGGCTGCCTGTGTTGTGTCTTGGCAACATCTCCATTATTGAATTAACAGGCACCGCAATCCAACATACTACATACAAGCCCACATCAAAGATATGTGCTGTGATACAGAGGAAATATCGAATCATGATTGCTATTAAACTTCAACCATCCCACAATTGTCTGGACCAAAACTGACAATTGCACCTTAGCACGATAACTTCTTAATGCGAAGTAACAATCTGATATCAATAGAGAGTCGGCTCCGTTAAACCAGCAAATGACGCCCTTAGCTATCCGTTCGCATTGTCGGGGCACAATTCGGCAGCGGCGCACAATCCGAAATCTTTCTCCGTGCTTGCGCATTCGCTCTGACGATGCTATCAGCCGTGCACAGACTTACGAAACAACACAAGCGCATGAAACAGACAAGACGTAAGTTAGCCAATCATTCCGCTGTGTTAGATGCACGCAGCAGGGCCAAGGGTCGCATGGATAGACATGGACGAGCTGAAACTTAACATGGTCTCAACGGGGTATTATGTATTTACACTTCTTTCGTTCTGTCTATTGACCTGCCTCGTACAATCACTCTGTGGAACAAGCTGCCGCCGGCGGTCTTTCCGAACCATTACGACCTATGAACCTTCAAGAAGAGAGCATACTCTTTACCTCCCAAAAGGCCGGCAACGCATTAGTAAGCCCTTTGGTGTTGCAGGTGTCCATGGGCGGCGGTGATCACTTACCATCAGGTGAGCCTCCTGCTCGTTTGCCGCTTTTTTCTCATAAAAAAAACTTTTATTGGAGTTTATTATTTTGCCCAATAATTCATTTACCTTTACTTTAAACTTCTCGTAGTCCTGCTGGCTCCCTTACAGGTGTAAATGCCTATGGGCAATGATAATCACTTAAACAAATACGCTGCTCGGGAGTTTGCCCCTTTAAAGGCGTGGCTCACCATTGCCTAGTTGAATTTTGGGTATCACACAGTTTGGGTTTTCAGAGTAAAATAACTCACTTAAAAGCTTGTTCCAGAGCCCCTTTGAGGTTAGTGCCCGATAGAGTTTATAAATAACTAATCTTACAGCGACGTTATCCTTTGTAATCATCTCATGAAATGAATCTGTGTATAGCATTCTCTTTTCCTGGCTCGAAGAGGCAAGAGTACAAACCCTAAATTAATAAATAATATTAAATTATTTTTACTCTGTTGAATGCCAAAAGTTGGCAAGCGAGCTCGCGATTCAACCTAAGTTATTACCCCAGCCCATAGACAGCTATTAAACGGCTTATGCTGTGTGTACCCGGCTACCTCACTCACCAAACGAAACGTATAAGTGTAGGTAATACTTCCACTTCACGCTGGTCTTCTGTTGAGGCCGTGGTATTTCCCCAGACGGGCAACTGTGGCTTAGCCCTACCACAGTATAAACTGTTTAAGCTTTCTCCAAAACTCTTAAAGTATGAAATAAATAACACGGTGACATATTAATTTAGATTATAATAATAAACAATGCATTAGGTATGAATTGTTCGATATAACTAATCAAGTAATCAGTAAAACAGGAGAGAAATTCTGAATACATAGAAGAATTAAAATTTTAAGCATGAAAAAAATAAACAAGTCTCATCGACAAAATCCGTCAACACAATGAACAATGGACATATAATAGTAAAACAACAACTAAATAAACTAATAGTAAAAAAACAACTTTAAATGTTAGCTGTTTCGTTAAGTCTTTTTTAGACGCTTCTTAAGTGTTCCCTAAATTCCTTTTCCTCGCTTTACACAACAGTGTTGTTATAATTCGCGTTTTGGCTTATCCTGGAAACAAATTAAACTACAACTACAACTATCCCTTTCGTGCTTTCACTTTGAAGAAGATTAACCTTTTACTTTTAGAACCATTCAAGCTTTAGTTTTGTTTGGCAAATAATCCTCGGTGAAAACACACGGCAGCAAAAAAATCGTCGCCTCTAATCTTCTTTCAGCTCTGTCCCAGGTAACCATTTCAACGATGACCAAATACAATATCAGAAGATATCTTTCGCTAATCTACTTCAAACAACTTCTCACCTTACGAAGTTGAGATAAAATTCAATTTTATTTACGCCGCTCTAACAAGCGGGGTCGCACAGTCAACAAAATGTTTCTAATAATTAGTTATCATCGATCATCGGAGCACGGCCACATTAATAAAGATATTAAATACCTTAAGCTGTGTGCTGACGGAGCGAATTGGAACGTATTGCCCGGTAATAAAGTATATTTCGGCTTCTCGCATAATACGCTGGGCGGCGACATCAAAGAGCGCGGCATCTGTGCAACGTTACGGACAAAGCCAATCGTGTGACAGCGCGGGACGGGTTTAGCGCTGCGCGGGCGACTCGCCGCGACAAATGGAACAAAAAGGCATCACACGTTTTCTCGTTTTTCTTTTAAGCAATCCTCTGGATATGCAAAACGTCCCTATGGCCGCTGTCTGAGCTTGTCCACCCACGCGTGGGATGCACTGGTGTTCAACATTATCCAACGGCCACGATTAGTATGGTCTGATTTGTGGATCAATAACCACGTAGTATTGAACCCATCGGAAGTTGAAGCTAGAATAAGGACAACCTCATTAAAATTTGTATAAAAAGGGACGAAAAGTAATTCCCCGCTGTAATATCCATTGCTTTCGACCATTTTTTCTAAACATTTTAATGTTTCGTCCTAAGTGCAGAGATCAGTACTATAAAAAATTAAAGGATAAACTCATTCACCTCAAACTATCGCACTTTATCTGAAACAACAGAGAGAAATTGAGAAATAATCGTGTTCACAAGATCTGCAAGATGATGGTTCTGATCTGACGAAGTAAAAATTATTATTTAGGGGAGTCCCGACACGCCTTTTACATGTTTTATATATGTGTACTTGTTCTTTAGTTACTAGCACTCTTGTGACATCTCAACTATCTGTCCTACTAATCCATCAAGCTTGGTAATAAGTGAAAATCGCTAGCTCTTCGGCACTTTAGTGATGAAAAGTTTATTTATTTATAAATATTTTATAACAGGAGTTCGTAAAGAGGTTCCTTACTATAGTCCCATTCGCCTGATTATCGTATTTTACTTTCCCAAAGGTTCTTAAATGACTGGCTGTAATATTGCACCAGATATGGCCTTTATAACTACCGACCAGCAATGTATTATACATATAACCCTTCCTCTTGAATCACTCTATCTAGTAAAAAAAACCGCATCAAGATCCGTTGCGTAGTTTTAAAGATCTAAGCATACATAGGGACAAGACAGGCAGCGGGACGATTTTATACTATGTAGTGATACAACTGTGGTAGGGTAAAATTCTTCACTGTTGCAAAAATGGGCAGGTTCGGGGACCACGACCTCACTAAAGACAGGCTTGAAATAGAAGCGTTACACTTCTGCGTTTCGTCTTGTAAGCCAGGTTCGGGGCCCACTTTCTTAAAAGGTCGCATCTCAAACCCTACGAGTGTTGCAAATGTCCACGGGCTGTGGTTATCACTTAACATCAGGTGAACCGCCAGCACGCTTACCTCCTTATCACATAAAAAAAATTGCACTACGCAAACACGAAAGTCTCATTAAAGCAGGCCGTGTACCCCGGACTTTTCAGTCAATTGACTCGTAGTGCGGCCAAGAGGAGAGGCAATCGAAAAACAATACTGTTTGTTTAACCGTTTCAGTTGGGGCTACGCGGCCGCTCTGTCGCTAACGATGATGCCGAACAATGACAACTCTGATTGATTACAGCGTGCTCCTAACTCATCGCAACTTACTCAGGGGCGCTCAATTTTATCGATTAAATTTAAATAAAACATAAAATATTAAAGCTCTGCTATGAAAATGAATAGCTAAGAACGTGACGTATGTGCCGCAATCATTCGCTTTTTATCAGTATGTAGACTAGGTATGTTATACCGAAACCGGAAGAATCCCAGAAAATATTAGGTAATCTCACAATCTCACAATGGTAACACATAAATACAGGTGTTTGATACAAAAAAAATACACCGTGGTATTTGAAACAAAAATAAAAGCCGCTTGCATGTACGTCTCTACTAGATAGAAACGGATTTTCGAGATTTAATCAAAATATAATAAACTAGTCAGTTAAAATTTCCGTCACGATCTGATTTCCATTTAAAAAGTGCAGTTTTACAAGAAAACATCAGGGTAATACCGAACATTTAACTCGGCGAGAGTAAAGCGGAGAGATAAGTAAATTTACATAGCTGGTTAAATTAACTCACTCGACCGATAGTTAATCTTTATTCTGGTGTCGAGCGCGACAGTCAATAGTTGAACCGATTTCTATGTAAATCGTGGTAGCCTACGCTTGGTCGCCCCTGCCGCGGTCCCACTACAAACGGCTTGATCCGTCAGCATTTTGACATCTTTTGATGATTACCGACAAATAATGAGAGAACTATTAAACGAGCCTCATTTCTTATGGTAATCCGATCTCTTTTCAATAAATTATCGGTTCGGATTCTCTCTTTTTAAATAAACCTTTGGCGAATATCCGTTTTAGATACGTTCCTCGGGTGGATGATATTTGCGAAAGACGAAAAACTTCTTTTGAGATCTTATCTGGATCTTATTGACAATTTGGATATTTAAAAAATACTACTTAAGAGTAATCGTATTGTACAGCTGAGTTAGCAAAAAAGTGCGTGGCTTCGATTGCGGTTAGTGAAGATTTAAATTTCTACACATATCCGCGTTCCTGTAAAATGTCTGCATCAAACCTCAAAGTCGTTTACGTTTTTGCACATTAAAATATAAACGAATCATCCTGGATTTGTTTTAAAGCCGGTCCACAGTCTCAGCAGATATCAGACCTCGATCGAGTATTCCCTGGAAAGAATCCGCTTGGTCATAGGGCAAGAGTTGGAGCACTTCCAAATACCTCCTGTCATCGACCTGTCGTATCAAAGCAACGGACAAATACTTCGGAGACGGGGAATTTAAACGATCTTTTTCGTTTAAGGGTAAATAATATGGTGTCAGTGTAAAGAACTTCAATGTTAGCTAGATGATGTTAGATGATGTTAGATGTTAGATAGATGAGAAGGATGTAATCGTTTTATCGAACTTCTAAATATATTTTTATGTAAAAAGATGGCAAAAAACAGGCAGTTCGTCTGATTATAAGTGACTGCCGCCGCCCATGGACACCTACAACATTACAGGAGTAGCGGATTCGATTCCTATGAGTATGGCATCCGGCTACACCAGATGAAACGCGGAAGTACACTCTCGTATAGGACCTCCTACCTCCGGTCTTGCTAATGTATCTGAGATATTTTATTAAACACTTTTTATCACACTAGAAAAAAAAAAATTTAAGCAATACAATAACATTGTGTTATTTGCAATTTATTCTCTGATTGATGGGTAAAGTTGGGAGCAGGTCAACAACAACATCAAAGACACCCGTAGTTAATGTACACGATTAAGATTTTTAAACAATTTGCGGTGGAATCAGAATCTGTTACACGATGCACCTTCATCCCATAGACCAACTGAAAATCGTGTTGATATTTATTAAACAAATGATGCCTATACACTAAACAAATGAATCCTGCATATTTCAAATGCTTTCAGGAAAAAGAAAATAATCGTAAAGAAATACAGTGAATCCTCATAAATTGCGAATTGCATTTACTGGGGTCCGTCGAAAATATAAAAGTGAATACTTTTCTAAGTAAATCTAAAGAAAGGGATGCAAAATCCATGTGAAAACCGCACGCTGTTATATTGAATTGACTTATAGAACTGGTTCCTAAGGTGTACCTTTACAGGTTACTGTAGACAAGTCTATAAATAGTGGAGTGTGGTTGCAATTTGCATTAATTATATTAATTATGACACACCCCAGCGAGCCGTTTTAAGTAATTCGCTTCCGTCTCCCCGTTTGTATGACTGCGGATGATCGATGGTGGATGGTTGGGGGCGGTCACGCTGCACGATCGTTGAAGCACGTTGTCCCTGGTGCAGTGACCATTTTTTGAACAAATCGAGGACATAACAGTGTAACTTTTTTATGTGAGAACATGGCAAGCGAGCTGGCGGTTCTGCTAATGTTAAGTGGACATTTCCGACACCCATGGGCTTGCAGATGCGATACCACCTTTAAATGAAATGGAACCCAGTTAACTCACTCACAGACGAAACGCAAAAGTCGCCAGTCTTCTGCGAGGTCGTGGTACTTCCCCGGAATTGCCCCTTCGTGCAATAGCGAAGACTGTTACGTGGCCCTAGCCTTGTAACGATTATTAAAACACGAGCTGAAAACAAGCCTAAGTTAAAATGAAACAAATTGAATTTTGAGTTCTGCGCTACCATTTGTTAGCTTAGATGATGCCTCCTTATAAAATTATTTTATTTTGTCGAGTGATCCATGATATTACTGGTTGAATGACATGATCACGTTGTAAAAACGATTGACTATGTTTAGGGGAGCTTATTCGAGTTTGAGTCTAATTTCCACTTGTCAATGGCCTTAAAAAATCTTCAAAATCAAACAGAAAATGTATTATGAGTGGGATATTTGAAGTCAGTTTTGTTTTTTTGTTAATAAGAATCTACCTATAACATTTTAAAATTGGGATTGCGAAGTCACATGCCTATATGAAATATTGGTCACCTTATGGTCGCATCTTAATAACCACGACGAGCAGACAAAACGCGTAGTGGAGTTGTCGATCGAGGCAGCCGATAGCCGTCCCCCTTCGTGACTGATAGCGCCCCGCTATCTCTATTACATCTCAATAACTTCATAACTGACGAAATCGTTAACGTGAACGTTAATACCGCAACGGTTTCACCATTGGCAATTGTTGTGATATATCTATATGTATTAAAAGCTGCCTGTTAAGTGAGGTGAACAAAGGTATTGGGAATTTGGAAACCTTTACCTTCTATGCAACACCCTATTACGTGCCTGCTGTATTAAATATATCAAAACAATTGCCTTTTTAATTACTTTATGCAACTAAGACGTGAAGAGTACCAAAAACTATGATAGAGGTTCAACTTTAGATACACATATTTATTTATTTTTATATATAGTTATGACTGTATTTAATGCAATCAATTAGTGAAATTTACCCATATCCCTGAAATAGTCCTTATATGTAAATCCAAAGCTAAAAGAAATTGCTCGAGGTAATAAAAGCCCGTTGTATAGCCTACATTTAACTAATTATTTTAGTTAAACGTTCACGTTTGTGCAGTAAAGTATATTTATTAGTTTATTCAAGTAATACTTTCGACCAAGACCAAACTCAGAGGTTGACAATACGTTTACAACTGTGGTCTGCCATCTTAGATGCCGTAAGCGTCTACTCTAGCAATCAGATGAATCTCTTACCGAAGATGAATCAGTTACCACCCCTTGTTAAGTGGTAACCGAGTTTCATGTAAGCGAGACCAAAAATTCTTGAGCTGAGCTAATTCATCTTCCTGTGGCTACAATATCATGCTTACCAACGACTATTGATGCGGCATAAACATTTTCGAAAAATTATTTATTTTTACAACATAAAATATATATCTCTCTTCCATGCCTCTTTCTTTTTGTGAAAAGTTGCCAAACGAGCAGACGGTTCACCTGATAGTAAGTGAATACCCCCGCCCATGGACATCTGCCACACCCGAGGGTTACAGATGCGTTGACAACCTTTTGAAAATTGGGCTCCGGCCACCTCACTCACCAGACGTAAAAACTCCACTCTTCTCTCGCCTCTTCCACGTTAAAATTGAAAACGTTGCGAAATGTTTCCCTTGAAATGTTAGTATTGATTTGAAATTGCATAGAAAGGATCGCGAGTCCTTCCTTGTTCAACGTTAGATTTCAACGAGGCAAAGGATTTCAAATACCGAGCATAAAAAGACCACGGCATGCATCCTCATATCGTCACGTAATGAAATAAACTGTAGCGGAGTGCATTACACAAGCAATGCAGTTCTTTATTTGCAGGTTATCATGCGCGGGCGACGCGTGCCGCCGCGTCCCCCTTCTAACAGAGGTACTGCACCGCTGGTGCGTCTTCTAGGACGACGGACGGACAATTCTTACAGCTCAGTGTTAAAGGATGAGATTAGGACTATTCAAAATCCAATAGCTCAATATTAATGGACTAAATTCAAATCCTGTCTCTGGCTCGAAATATTGTACGTTCTAAAATATAATTAAAAGTAAGTTTTTTATACAAGATAACATTATTCTACTTGTCTATTTTGGTCAATAGAGGCAAATACACGCTTTAAATTGTTATTGATTCATTCAATTTAATGAAAAATGAGAGATTTGTGGAAAATTTTTGAATTGACTCATTGGAAAATGGATGATTGTGAATTCCGTTCGGAGATCGGAACATATGAAGACGCGGTTACAAGTGGACATAGAAACTATTGGTCCAACTGTTGAGGACGAGTGCAGTATCCGTGCACCAATTGCCACCAGATTATTCAATCAAGCATGCTTTCTCCGCAGCTGGTGACCCCATTAGCCCGGCGTCAGCTCCAACGAGCCGCGGCAACTGGATGCCTCTTTGCGGCCTACTACAAGGGAGTAAAAAGAGGCGGTTTTTTCGAAATGCTCTTCATTTGTCATTATAAGTGAACTTATAGAACACCGATAATATTTACCTAAAAAAAGTGTAGAAACACCCTTGTTTGTTGAGACATACGTGCATAAATAAATAAATGCGTTCAAACTATTTTTATGTAAAGTTAAAGACACGACGAAGACACCTTGTAGGTTTAAAAGGTAAAGCGGATAGCATGATGGTCCATCGTCACTCATTGGCAACACCTTAGGACGACACCCTGACGGTTGTCGTAAGATCGAAGTCGTATCGGTTCGGAATAACGCCGGCGATAACTAGAAACAGTTGTCGCCGTCAAAGCTGTCATGTGCGTAACAGAAAATTCCGTGGAAAAATTCACAGCGGCGAACTACCAACCGTCAAAGGGGTATTAATGGTATTTTGCAGTTTGTCGTGCTGTACGATGGTGAAAATCAGCAGTAGGTCTAATGGAAAATAATTCCCTAAAGTCTGAAGTGAAGTTATTAGATGCATTATTCAAGTACAACAATTTGAAGATGTCTAAGCACAAGGGTTTTTAAATACTTGAACCTGATAGAAATATGTACTGCACTTAAAAACAGAATTAAACAGCCGTTACGTGAAATAAAGATATGAAAATAAAGTTAATTTCATGGTTAGCAAAGTTGGTGTCAAAGATATTAAAACCTTTATATTTCATTACGAATACATACATTTGATTCATTGAAATATTTACAACAAATAATAAAGATAACAAAATAATATTCAGTTTGATCAGCATTTCTAGGAGTTACCCAATTTCACATACTGTTCTGTGTCATGGAGGGAAGTCAAAACCTTTCGCGGCAGTCTAATACAAGATGGTTCCTGCAGACTCAGTGGCATTTTCTGCTTTCTACGACATGCTGGCACAAACGCACTATGATATCCATCAACGTTGTCCACTCTGTAAAATTTGGTGTTCACTTCTTCTTTGCATTTACTATGATACCTTGATTTGAAAGGGGATCTAACACCATCAGGTGTGAAATTCGTATCTTCGTCATTATCACTTACCCCTTTTATAATCACGGGCAAAGGTATTCTATGAAGAGGCAAAGTATGATTATAGTCAATGTAAATGTTGCCAATGCCTTCATTGTATAATACTCTTCGACACTTTTCTTCGCATTTACCCATTCCATCGCAATCCAATCGCGATTGTTGTTTCCTAATATCCAAAAATGATTCGGTAGACCGAGCGTTTACAGTTTTTCGACCCTTTACAGCATGACGTGTTTCCCCCGATAAATACTCCGACGTATTCTGTGTTGCATCGTGTCGTATACTACATTCGCAAATAATTTTCTTATTCACTGTCTTACCATTGGTATAAGTTTTATCGTGGAGCTTGTTAAAATGTATTTTTCGCTTTTGTAAGCCAACACTATCATTGGAAATTGTTTGACTCGCAATATCTCTTATTCCACAGCATATATCATTGCTATTATTACATTCAGAGTAATTGTGGTGGAGTTGTATATTATTTTTAAGAGGTTTATTTATTATGAATTGTGAGTATTTACCATTACAGGAATTATTATAACAAGTCTTCGAACGCGTCTTCCACTGCACCTTGTTCTGGTCTAGACACGAACAGGCAGAAAATCGTGTTCCTTTTGTTGGCTCAAAGGCAGAAGTATGTGTCGTCACTAAATATCTTGGATCGTGACGGTTGGAAGCGAGGAAGTAAGATGAGAAATCTTTGACTGATAGCTCATGGCTGACGTTTTTCAACGTCTTCGAATTCAACTCGCATCTCTCAGCGCACATGTGATCAAGGTTATTGGAGCAAGACAGAACGGGGCGCTTGCTGAAGAGTCTTCCCGAATCACTGCGTGTTTTCTGATTCCGAAAATAAACTGTATTGTGCTTTTGTGTCATTTTTTTGCTACTCACAATGGATGTTACGTCATTATTGGGTTGGTTTTTGGCAGTTTTGACATTGACCTTTGTTTTTCTAAAGAGTTATCACAGAATTAAAGTATTTATGATTATAAGTTTGGATACATTTAAAAAGATACACAATAAGCAACAAAACATTTCCTACGAACTGATCTTGCCTCCATGTCGTACATAAAACAATTGCTTAAAACTAATACATAATTATAATTATTATTACTCAGGGTATACCGAACCTTTATTTATTTCATAACACTAGTGTGTTTATCTCATAACTTTGTGCAAAGACAACAGTATTTTATTGGTAGATACTCGCGTTGCTTGAGAAATCAATTATTTTCAAAAAAAGATTTTTATTACATAGGTACTAGCTGAACCCCGACACGTTTCGCTTTGGCCTTTTTTTTCCTTTTGTTTCGTTTCCATTCGGACTTCGGAATAAAATGTATATATAAACACTCTTATGTTCAATAACAAATATCGAGTCAATCCATTGGTTAGTTTTTGAGTTTTGTGGACTCAAACATAGGATAGCTAAACTTTAAATGTAAAGATGATTATTACTTCTAAGTTCACCAAGTTTCCAGCCGATGTCACTGATCAATAGTGCAATATGGCAGCGAACAGCTGACGCGACGGAAACACCTAGTTGATCGCGAACCACTTCAATTCATAATCTCGTGCCAACAAGGGGTTGAGTAACATATTTCCTTGCAAACATACGCCGATCGCTGCTAAAGTGATCCAACCACAGGGCGACCTCCTTGCTTTGGTTCATTAGACGGCAAACGTAAGTTTGCGGGATAGCATTAACGTCCAGTATAAGATGACCACCCGCGTCCCGCAACCTACAAGCAATATTAGATCAGCAAAGGCCATTTATGCTTCAGCGCGTGTGCCCAATAGACTGGCGGCCGTCAAGACGGCAGATGCTCGCAATTGTCCAAGTCAAAGATCAGAGGAAGTGGCTGTGATGCACGAGCAGCTGGGAGGCGCGTGCGCCCCGTTACTGAACAACACTCTCGGAGCAATTGTTCGGTATTTGTCATCTTCACAGTGGGCTCATTAGTTTTTAACGATCGCCAGTAATCAATGCGCGTGCCGCGGCAGATGCCGGCGAATGCGGATTTGTATAGTTGGAGTGTGAAAAGTGTATGTTTGTTGCAGCACAATATAATCTTTCTTTTCGGTCATAGAATTGTAATTGGTCAGAACTGAGGTCATCTGCTTACTTTTATTGAGTAATCGTTATTAAGTTTATTGATTTAGAAATACACACACGGAAAACTTAAGCTAGCTTGGGAAAGCTGAGAGGTCATATCTATAAGGGGTTTAAAGTGAAAAAAAAAAACGATCAATTGCGAGTAAGACTTGCACACGAAGGGTTCCGTACCATTATCTATAAAATCGGCAAAAAATCACGTTTTTTATTATGTTTTTTAGTATTTGTTGATATAACGGCAGCAGAAATCCATCATCTGTGAAAATTTCAACAGTCCAAGTATCACGGTTCATTACATACAGCAGCCTGGTCAGACAGACAGACGGACAGACAAGCAGACATTTATTTATTTATTTATTTATTTATTTATTTATCACCAACAAAGTACACACTGTGACAGAAGAATTATACAAGATATGCAAAAAAGTGATGAGTGGTACCTTAATTATAGGTAAAAAAACTACATTACAACAGGCAGTGGAGACAAAAACCAAAAAACTTTTACAAAACTAAATGTGAAATACGAGCATTACAATAATACAAATATTAACTAAAATACGGTAAAAACAGAAAAAAAAATTAAGCAGTATAAAAAAAAAAAGAAAAGTTACTAAAAAAAAAACATGTTACAATAAAAAAAAAATATATGAATTGGCTGGTGAAGATATTAACAATTTATAAAAATATTGTTGGCACTTAAGTACAATTTAATCGAATGTTTGAATCGGGATATATTATTGTCAAAAATATCGACATACAGCGGAGTTTTAGTAATAGGGACCCGTTTTACCCTTCGGGTACGTAACGCTAAAAAGGGAGTTTCATTTTGTCTTTTCGGAAGTAATTTATAGATTTGGAAGCGTTTCATGGATGTGAATGTTTGCGTTAGGAGAATTACAGTCAAATGGCACAAATGTACATAGTCAAAAGCATTCAGCGCGGCCATCCACGGCGGCGGGAGGCCTGGTGTCCTCGTAAAACACAAATTAACACGCGGTGGGCCGCAATTAAGTCAGCTCATCACCTAGCATGCGACGTATAAAACTTTTATCACCAATAAAAACCGGGCAACGACTCTATTTCAGATAAGAGAAGCAGTTATTGGCTGACAGTTAAACAGACGAGCAGTATGGTGCTGATAGCTAGCTATTTCCCGACTCTGAGGCGCCAACAGAAGTCCGAACTTCGGCGGAATAAGTATTAGACCATTTACAATGTTTCTCTAAGAAAAAATTGGTTTGTTATTAACATGAAGGCTTAATATTAAATTAATGAAACTTTAGTCTAGTATGTCAATGAAAAGTTAGAAAATAGTATAGATATATTACAGTATAACATGACATCAATATCAAATTACAGTCTATTTCCAGTTTCTATTGATTGTATAAAGATCATACTACATATATTTCGTTCATACATTATTTAATAGAGGAGGGATTATCCTTTAGTGGCCTAAATTGATGAAGTGTTGATCACTTATATTATTAAAAATTATAAAACCAAATACAACCAAATTATAAAATTAAAAAGCAACGAATTAAAATATATTGCCAACTTTATCTCATAGAAGGAAGTGTAATTTAAAATATCATATATATCTATCTTTTTTAAGTAAAAACATGGAAATCGAACTGGCGGTTCACCCGATTTTTGCCGACATTTGAAACACCAAATGTAGATATAAATGTGTTGCCACCTTCCAATAGAGTGGGCCCCGGTAACCGCACTCACCAGATGAAACGCGGAATTGTAACACTTCCACCTCACGCCGGTCTTCTGTGAGGTCGTGGCACCTACCCGGACGGACCTGCCCATTCCTGCAACAGCGAAGACTACTGTTTGGCTCTACCACAGTAAATATACATCTCCACATCTAAGCTAACATGATCGTGTTTTGGCTTCGCTTTAGTTGGCTCCATCACCGAAACGTCACCGGTCTATTCCGGCCTTGATATTTGTAATATAACTAACGGCCCCAACAGACGTTTTAAACAACATTAACAAATTACAAATAAAAAAAATGTAATGGACCGAATTGTGAATGAAAACCATTCTCGAATCGACCTAAAGACACACACATACACATAAAATTTTATTCTAAGCGGTCAAGGCGTTTCGGAGGAGTTCATGATATATAGAAGATAGAAGAATTACGTATATAAATAATGAAAACATAAGGACTTAATTAATTTAGTAGAATTACACAGCAGCTTATACTGTAGAGTAAATGAAATGAGCACACCTATGAAAATACTACGACATCAAATGATACGGGTCTCAAGTTTAAGTATTATACTTTTAAATTTTACGTGAAAAAATAACAAAATAACACATAGCGTCTTTAACATAAATTTTAAAGATATCATTCTTTTTTAATTTTAAGGCATTTGTTTAAAAGCATACGTTTCCGCAGTAAGTCATCCCACGCATGCGTTAGCAAGTTGTTACGCGTAGCGTTGCACCTACTGAGCAACTCACCGATGGGCGCTGATAAACAGTTATGCGGCGTTTTATTGCGTCTAAAAACACTATAAAAACCGAGCAACAAAGCGTTCCTGTAAATAAAACGCCAAGCAACATCCATAGAGCGATCGGCTTAGGGTACTCATGTGTTGCCATTAAAAAATATTATGGGCGCCATCAATTTCGAAACGTCACCGTAGTTTTAGAGGCATGGTTTTAGTTTCTGACATTTATGACCGAAAACGTCAAACGCGACGACCTTTAACTCGGCGGGAAAAGGGCTGTTTTGTAATGACTTAACAAAAAGTAATTTCTCTACACTCCGATGATGTAGGGACGGAAAAGTGGTATGCACTATTTCTTCATTAAATGTTTTCATAAAATAATGCCCAATTGTTATATACAAACTAATTGAACAATATTGTTTTTTTATATACTAATTGAACAAATTTGTTTAATTATATACAAACTAACTGTACAGAGACACACTTATACAGTTCAGATTATCCAAAAAAAATAATTCAAGTAAAATTTAATAGTACTCCAAGAGCTATCTAAACTCCTTTCTGCCACTGCTACACCAAATGTCATAAATAAACAACGCCATAATCAAAACATAGAAGCGCGAATATCCATTCGATTCCAACGTCGCTGGCATAACCTATAAATTGAAAAGGCATATTGGCCCCGAAACGGGCAACCGACACACAACACTACTATATTACGCCTAGAACAAACTGGACGCGATAACCGCAGTAAAATGGTCCATGGATGACATAAAACGCAATTAAATACCATCTCGTTAATAACGCAACAGGTGGAGACGGTCGTAAAGCAGTTTTATGCCTGTTGTGCGTTTTACGCCGTCTAACGCCACCGGCTTATGGGTTTCTGTACTACAATGATTAGGATATTAATTCGGGTGGACGAGTTAATCACTCGGTAATGCACCGGCGTTGTGACAATTTCAAATGGGAGTCTAATGGTCGAATAAAGTGTAATAGCTGCAGCATAAATGTAGTTTTAATATCGTTTGTAGACCTTAAATGCTTCTTGAATATACGAACAGTTTAAAGTTCTTTCATTATATATGATGCCTATATTACATTTTACTAGTTTTTATTCAACTCCATGTGGGAGTGGAATCTCTTAAAATATTCTTTTCTTACTTTTCTATCTGTCAATATTACGAGAGTTTATTCACTTAACACTTTTTTAAAGTTTAACACAAATACCTTTATGATAATGCATCCGAAAACGCATTAGTAGATATTTGAAATTGTGAGATTGTTACTTTATTCTGATTTAAAATTATAATATTATCTATGATAATAATAATGTAAATAAAACAGTCAAAATCTAAATTAATGTTATTATTTTTGTCGAATTGGCTCGCTCCTGCCGGTCCGACTATTTATAATGTCTTAATTAGTGAAAATCATTAGCTCAATAAAAGCATATTCATTATCGAATTATCGTATCAATAACAAGTTAAAAGTCAAAGTTGAATATTTTACTTTTTAACCGATTTGAAAAAAGTTTTCGTTTTATGTTTGTTACGTTGTTTTATGTTGTTTTATGGGTGAACCGATTTTGATGATTCTTTTTTTGTATTTGAAAGCTCGTGGTTACCAACACACGTGTGGTCCCATTTTGATCCAGTTCATTTAAGTAAATTTGCATTAAGTATGTGCGCTACGTAACACGACGAATAACTCAATATCACGCCATACGATTTAGACGATTCTATTTTTAACCAACTTCTAAAAAGGAGGAGGTTTCTCAATTCGAATATACCGTATATACTTTTTTTTTTTTATGTGTGTTCGTCGATAACTTCGTCGTTTATGAACCGATTATGGTGATTCCTTTTTTGTGGGAGAGGAGATATCCCAGGGTGGTACCATGATAAGGAAACCCGATTCTGATGAGGGCATCCCAGAGAAATCGAGTGCCATCATTGAATGTTATAGGTATTAACAATGTTTTTAATTTTCTGATTGAAGTCGGTTTTTTTTTTTTGTTAAAAATTATACTTTTTAATGGAAAGGTTCTGACTATGGGATCCATGGCAAAGTAACGGAACTCTTCGATAAACACAAGCAGATAACGATACTCGGACGAATCTTTTATAAGCTATCCAGATATTTGAGTCACCTACCTTGACGTCGTTAGGGTCAAGTGATTGTTGTAGTCAAATATGATGACCATTAGAACTCCTTGACGGCTTACAGTAACGGTGCAAGCCGTTTTCTCATAAGAGTTTATAATACCTAAGTATTAAAATTAAATCACTAAAGATAAAAAAATAAAAAACAATTTAATAAAAAATAATAAACGCCTTAAAAAAACTCTATTAGCACTACTTATAATAAAGCTAAATTTAATATGCTCAATTCTTTAAGTTTAGTTGCGACCACCCTACCATATGTAGGTTTTGAGACAACTTTTAGGGTGTCAATATACAAGTATTTACAGACTTACTGCTCGGTATCTCGAATTCCGAGATTCTAACCTAATTTAAGCTTAAATGACTGGACTATCTGTAGAAAGAATGTTGAAACAACCCGGTAGTTGATAACTATCCGATGCCGAACTCAGTGGACGCGTGCACTAACAACCGTCAACCCTCGCTGTACAACTGGGTGATGCAGGCGCGATAACTATCTTATGCTTTCGGACACAATTGTTAACGAGTGTTATTTGTATAATAAAGACGTTATTGCATCCTATCGCAGCAATTTGGCCTCTCTAATTGAGGGTATAAAGCCCGTTTTTCCACGAACGGAGGCCGTCGCCAACTACGAGCGTGTAAAAGGCGCCACGCTGCGCGGCTCGCAGGTCTTTTGTATCGTTAATTTCATTGCTCACCCCTGCTCAGTTAGTAGCGTAATGGTGTGTCAGCTCATTAGAAATAAGCAAGTTTACGTCGTGCACCAGTCGGAATCTCCCCATTACAACTTTATTGAACACACTCTCGAATTAAATTTGATTGTTTTTAATAGACACGAGAAGGTGCTGATGCTACGAACTTACGAACGTTTCATAAAACACCTTTTTACATAATAGTTCTTTATCGACAACAGTAGCCTAATTATCCATAATTGTGTGCATTTTTTGTACAATTAATAGTTTTTTGAAAACAACCTCTTATATATTAGCATAGCAGTTTTTAAGTAAATCTTAGCTCATCAATTACTAAAAATAAAATGAAATGTAATAAAAGAAATACCACAAACAAACAAAAAACATTTACTTAAAAACATTTATGTGAAAATCTGTAACAAGAACATGAGAAGAGGCTCAATTTAATTATCTCAAATTGCTGATCTTAATGCAACCAAACGACTAATATGGATAGTTCCCTAAGCAGAAATAACGCGATATAAATTATAAATACATTCGCTGTTTGTGAAATACCCTTTTGCGCTCTTTGATTTTCAAAGAAAGGTTTGCTTTCAAACAAAGATATAAAGCAATCCTTATAACACAACGACATACCCCCTGCGTTTTAAAAAAAATCTCTCATTAAGACAGGTGTAGTGGGGCATTGTATTAAAACGTTATAATATTAATGTTCTATTTTGGCAAGCGGAGACGCGCTCCGTGGCATGTTTGCAGCGAGCCCAAGTAAAAGCCTGAAGCGTATCACAAAATAAACGCGGTCCAACTATATAAATTTCTAAATTAAAGGATATCACAAATAATGCACTTCAAATTAATAATTTCACCGGGGAACGAACTCAGGTTGCTCGAGTGTATTGAATTAAAAGCTAACGCCCGGACAATGAGCTGTCACGGCATAAGTAATTAATTTTAACTGCTTACTTATCATGTGCTCAACGGTAAAGGAAAAAATCGTGAGGAAACTTGCATATTTTCGAATTACGTACAAAGGAGGCCGTTGCCCAGCATTGGGACATATATGGGCTCTTACTTCACGTTTCTTTATCACAAATAATGACACTTTAAGACCCAGACTAACTCATAACAATGGTAGATGAACGTATCGGCACTTGTTTAATATAAAAATATTTTGGTGGAACTGAATTGATTTGCACCAAACAGTCCGTGCCTTGCGCTGCAGTCAAAGATTGCCCCTCAGTCCTCCACTGCCGACGGGGGTCCAACAGACCCGCTCATCAATTACGGAGAGCCGACTGTTGCCCTCTCCACGTGTCACAGGATCCGTCAACAGGTGCTCGAATATCTTGTAATTTAATTTTTTGGATTGTATTCGAATTGAAAGAAAAAAACACGCTCACATCTCTAATAAAAGTGGAAACAGAAACCGCCGATACTATCTGTTACCGTATAGCAATTATAATACTAATTTATGACACCCTCAAACGATTCCTACAATTCAAGATACGTATAAATTTTTATCAAAAACAACTTTACATATAGACGATGGTTTATTATTCGCTGGTAACTTGTAGAGATAAATCTAGTCTAACAAGTAAAACTACATGTTCTGCTTTGAAGAATCTTTAAACGTACTGCCTAAGTAAGAGCTTAAATTTTAGGTTCAGACAGTACCTATATGCTAAGTTTACAAAATTAGCTTTAGAGTCGAAAACTGCATTGGTTTATATCTAAAATGAGTTTGGAATTTTTTACTACTGACTTGACTTTTATACCGTTCAATACACAAAAAATTCGAAGTTTAAAAACAATGAAACTCTATCAAAGTTGAAATAGAGACGTATCTTTGCTCCACACGTATTACGAGCTACATTCGCGTTTGAATGTGATTTACGTCTTATTAAATTCAAGATGGCGTCGGGAGGCAACCAATGCGCCGCTTTCCCGCCATAGAACGTGATTAGACTCGCGGCACGATCGCATTCCGAACAACAAATTGAGACGTCGGTAATTATTTACACCGACATCATTAGCCGGATAAAGTGTATTAAATTATGATATATAATACCTTCGATACGGCACCGAACGATATATTACGCTAATACGTTTCCAACAAATCTCCACATAATGTTGTGGTCTTGCATCTCGCTGAATGAGAAGCGTTAATCTGTAACATTGTAATTGGATTAACGTCGTATAGATGTTTGTCGGCCAGTAATGAATTAGCATTTTATCGTTTATAACTGTTTTTGACTCCAAAATCTTGGACGCTAGTGAGGAATAAGACGCAAACCGGCAATGACTTAGCCTTGTTTACGTTTAAATAAAAATTAGTTATCTTTTTAAATAAGAATAATGACAGATAGAGTATAAATAGCTACTCTATAACATATATTCCGTTTTTAATTCTGTTTCCGTATATAGAAAATCATAACTTCCATCTTCAAAATTATGTTGGAACTAAAAGTTTTGGGTATACAACTTTTAAATTGAACTAGTTGTCTAGATGAAGCATTATTTTTAATATAAATTGCTCACTTTTTGGATCCGTGGATTAATCTAGGACATTCCTTATTGTTATGTGGACATTATTAAGTACCCATTAGTAAATTTAAGTGAAAAAATTGAGAAGCCTCTACAAAATTTCCTAAGTAACTCGAAACTATTTTACGGATCTATCAAGTTTAATTTTAATATTTTTTTGCATACATTATGAAAAAAACAAGCTATCCAAATTGTAATCTGTGTGGAATTGAGGAGGATGTACAACATGTTTTGATGGAATGTGTCAAGAACAAAAAGGAGAGAGAGGAAATGATGCGAGCCTTGAACATAAACTCTATCAACATAGGAATTGCGCAGTCAATTTTGTCTCTGCCAATTTCAGATGATGCAAAAAAACTATGTTATGCAGCTTCTGTGTTCTCACAATAAGTTAGATATAGTGTATTTCTAAAGTATAGAAATGTGATGGTCACAATGGGGTTGACATATACAAAAAGGATAAAAACCCCAAAAAAAAAAAAAATTTAGAATACTTGAATGTATTTATAATTACAGACCTCGCATAAATGCCAAAAAAAATGTTAAATATTATATCAAGCGTTTTGTGGTAAAACCTAAGTCATGGTTTTAAGAAACTTAATACGTAACTAATAACTAAACAACGTTTAAAAATTCCATCCCTGCGGGGCATTTCATCACTTCGACATAAAAACGCCATTCCGAGATCGAAGCGAACATGGACACGAGCGAAAACTAGTTCAAGCGTATAAATAAATCAAATCGTCACCATTTACGGCGTGTTGTTTGCGTTATATAAATTAATGGTGCACTTGGCTGAATCAAAATATTTACTGACGTGGAAGTTCCTGACTCAACTCGTCTAGGGTCCGATCGTTCGCACCATAAATATATCGTCAACGGTTGTAAATTATATTTTACAATTGTTTACATTCGTCACTGTTGTAAACAAAAGAGGGCTCTGTGGTGCGCTTAGAGCGATTTCTTCGAGTGATAATGGTTAGAGCACTGCCATAGCTACGTTCAGGGCCCGTGTGGGCCCAGAGCAGTCGCTCTTCGGGCATAATAAATAAGTCGCGTCCGTTAGCCGTCCGAGCTTTACAACCGTCATATATTACTTGTTTGGCTTGCATTCTATAGTTTTATGGTGCCCCTGAATGGTCAGCTACAAAGCGAGTTTCAGGACAATGCACCGTCTAATTTGTTTTGGTCATACGGGATTGTCGTTTTGTTCTGTCAGATTTATTGTCTTGATCGGCCCTTGTCCGTGACGACGGGGTCTCGAATTAGAAATTCGTCCTTTCTGGACTGATGAGATCTCTCTCTGTTCAGTTTTTTTTCTGTGAACACGACCCACGATTGCATTTCGAAACTTTCGTCAAACTTCAGGCTGAAAATATGATTTTGAATTGATACTCAATCATGATTGTAATTCTGTGATCTCGCCATTTATTAAAAAAATATACATCACTTCTAGGTCTATAAAACGCAGGGGATTATCCTAGTGTTGTAAATACCTTAATTAGGCGCTTATTTTTTTAGCACTCTAGTCCCAGACTCGTCGTGTAAGGTGTCTAAGTGGATACCGTGTTTTTAGGCGATTGCAATTATACCCTCGTCCTCTACCAAAGCAAAACTGACTGTCTCATATTTACGCAGAGCATCTTAAAGAGAGACTTTAAAGACGAATTAGCTTTTCCTGGTATGTACTAAGCACTAATAGTGCCCACAGCAGAGAAATGCGAGTTTCCATCACTAAAATTATAACAATGGATGAACCAGATTACTATTCGTTTAATAGTCGACTTATTTCTCACTGGACTTTCCAGCCCATGAAGCATATGTTGATTATATTAGAGCATATCAATAAATTAATATATTTTTCTATCATATTAGTACATGTTAAGAAAATATCTATAATATTAGGAAATGTAGACTCGAACAGAATGAAGGGCCGTTGTGAAAAAATGTTGAATAAAACTCAAAATCAATTTCCATAAATTATCAGACAGCGAAACATCAAGCATCACGTAGACTATAAATGTCCGACTCATAATAAACATTAAGCAACAGACGAAATATCTTCTCAGATTGAATGGCGAAATAAGTGGAAGATATTAAAGTTTTATTACACGGGTCTATTTCTGAGTCTTTAGTGAAAAAAAAAATTGGACAACTTCATCGCACGTCAAGATGTTGGTTTTGCGTAAATAATGCGTCTCGTAAAACGCTCGAGAACACTCGTAAAACTGTGCTTTTACTCGAATTTTATTGTCTCCATTGTCCAAAACTTGAGAACTGATGGGATTAGGAGTCAAATTGAAAATGTTATTCTTATAATCCACGTAAAATTTGTTATCTTACATCTATATTTGCCAAAACCGAAATTAATGTGACAATGTCTTACATATTCATCCGATCCATAATAAACTAAAAGTACAGTAATATTAAACGGCATACTTGTTTAAACTTTATAATAATTTTTTGTACTGCTAATTTAGCATTTAAGATGAACCATTAAAATTTTTAGAGAAATGAATGAAAATTTACAATAGATGACGCCAGGCATTGCTTAAAATGCGAAAAAGCAAAGCAGATGTAAGACGTTGAGATTTAGGCGAGCGTGGCAATTTTCCAATTTTCTACAAATTTTAATCACATAGGTACTGGAAAAACGGCCATATTTGTAAAGAAATATTAACAAACAATAAAAGACTATGTATTCAAATATTAGTATTAAAATTGAATAAACAAATATTTGACCTTGTGCATTTCAATTTCTTTCAAAAAACTAACAAAGAAGTTAATAAGGTATATTCTTCGGACGAACTATTGTAAACCGTTTATCAAACACCTTTACAATCTAACTAACCTATGAAACATTATGTCATTTGAATGATGCGATTCGAAGACGGATTTTTCTAACATACCGATGACTTTTTCCCTCGAAAACAATATAAAATCAATCCATCAAACGGAGTTTTTATGTGACAGCGATCGTGCTCTATTCAGTGATCGTTGCACTGCTTGTTCGTCCGCTAAACAAGCGTAAACATGCATTAGGACGGCCATTGACGGCCACTGTGCGGACAATGTGGCCGCAGATAAACAATGCAACTCGCATAAAGACTTCGCAAACCTGTCTACAGGCTGCTCCGGAAGGACTCTTCTGAAACATGTCACAATTAGTTACTCCTTTTAATTAGAGAAAAGAATAAATACTATATTACGTAGTTTTTTTTAAAAAAGTACACTTTAAATACAATTTATTACAGTATCAAACAATAAATGTAATAAAATTTGAAGAAACCACAAAAAAAGCAGAAATTTATTATTTAGAGCGTCATCTATACCGAAAAATTACTATAAATTTAAAGCAATTATTCATACTATACTTGCCAATCTTAAAAATTGTCTGAAAATATTAATTTTTATAAAGATTAAAGGCAACCGGTGCCATGTTAAATATAGAAAAGTCTAAAATAAACACACTGTATAATATAAACGTAAACAATGAGGATGTAACGGAGTCCGCTTCAAGGTCGTAACAGTCGTTCGGAAACCGCGCAGTAGCACCCACCGCGCGTGATGGATCGCAGGCCGGCTTCAACTACTTAAACATTGGCCTTTTCCCGAAAATTAGAGAAAAAAAAAGCCAGCGGGGCCCTAAGACAATGATCCGGCACGCCGTGCCACAAAGCGCTCGCTGCGCCGCGCCCGAAGCACAAAACGCTCATGCTACGATGATTCAAGGAAATCAGCTCGTTCCTTAACTTATTCCAGCTTGTTGTTACATTTGCCATCATTGTCGTGAGTAATTTATGTCTCTGCGCAACATGCGAATGCTCACGACAAAACAAAAACATTGTGTGTATTTAGAAATTCGTTAATAATTACACTTAAGTTTATCGATAGAATGCGTAAGCTATGCAATTTCTAGTATCCACCTTGATAGAGTCGTAACAGAAAAAGCAGTATTAAGCTCAGTTATTAATTCAGAAAATAAATGTAACTGATAAATGATTAATCACACAATATATTTTATACCCTATGCTATGAAACACTTGATTTATTGACTGAACTAACAAAAATAAGTTACGTCTAAACGCTCCTTAAGTAAAAGATAATTATGTAGATTAATATTTATTACATTACTTATTAATGGATACATTTAAAGACATAATTCCTAAAATTTATTTCGCCATAATTCTTCGTCGTATACATAGTAATAAATTAAACGCATCAATTGAACACTTATGTCATGAAATATACTTTTTATAAACAGCATTCGTTAAGTATTTAGGTACTACATAACCATTGCTTTAATATATCGCTATTACCACAAACCTCTCATGTACAGAACGTCAATACATTATGTATTTACGTCGTACATTGTAAAGGCATAAATAGAGCGAATAGGACCGACGCGACACCAAACAAATATGTGACAGGAAGAAAGATTACGGCACTCTATCAACATATCTGACAACAGGCTTGAGTTTCTTCGATTTGTCCTGTCTTTGTGCGCCGTAAAGTTGGAGCACAATGGCGGGAGAGCCGTGTAATGCCTCTCGTAAAACAATAAACCACCCACCGGAGGCAGCCAGCGCTCGCAGCGCGAACGTCATTGTCCAAATTCTGAACGAGTCGAAAACATGGCGGATGACGTACAAACGTCACAAAAGCGCGCCAATTCCGCTCTTCTTCCATGATCAGTGAGCAGAAAATTTTAATTTTTGTCCCCTTAATTGCTCATACGTAAGTAGCTCGTCCTCGATTGTTTGTTATACGCATATTCGACATTGATCCGACGTATGGACGTATTGATTTATTTCCCTGCGGCAAACTCCGAGCTCCGCGGTTCAAATTAAATGACTTATTGTTTTATTGGCATAACAAATAACGCGAATAAGAGCAGATGGTTAACGGATGTAATGGAAATAATAAATCAGACAATATTGTTTTTATTTTTTAATTGAGACTAAATTATTAGCGTTTGTATTGGTAAGGCATGGTGGGCGCACAAAAATCTTGAATGTTACAACTAACTCAGTTTTTTTGTCTCAAACAAATTAAATAATCAGTTATTTCATCTAAATTTTAACCTTTTTCATTAAATTACATCCGTCTTAAAAGTCTAAATGCAAAGTTGACGACGCTTTACGATTAAGTCTAGATGTTTTTTTGTGGAACAAATTATAAAAGATAATCTAGACTTTATCTAAGTTTCCATTATCCTTATTTAATTTTTTATCATAACGTCCTTCGAAATTCACACTACTTGACATTTATTCAATTTTATATGATACCAAGTTCTTGCCTTATCGAATATACCCGATAAAAATATTTTACAATAAAATTTGCAAAGAAAATTGCTGAACAATCAATAAAATGTGACATCTAAAAAGGTTTTCGAGTCAATTATCACTAAGCATCATTGGTCTCCAAGCGAACTGGCCGTGAAAAGGATCAAAGATTAAAATGTGCGTGTCACCACCAAAGAAGACCGGAATGAATCAATTGAATGGAGTCGGATATCGATAGAAATCGCCGCTACGGGCGACTAATGAATCGATAATCATCGAACTTCGCCCGGTGAGTTACACAACACTAACACAGAATAATTTTGATGTATGAACGCAGATAAATCTATTAACAGATGACAACTCCATCGGTCGGCGGCGCATCAGAGGCGCGTTATTATTATTTTAATGTTATTATTCAAATTATTATAATCTCGACCGCCATATTTATAGCGCTCGAATAATCCTTTTCGATACGCCGCTTAAGGATCCGTTCAGGTCAGCGCGCACTGAAACAGGATAAGAGCTTTGCGCACACAAATTTAACACAAGCTTAATTTTGGCCTATCAAAGTCTCATTAAAATATATACAGATGGACAACGTCTACGAACCCATTATGTAGTTGACAATCCTAATAAACTATTTCAATTTAATTAAAGAAACTGATATTGATTTCTAATTAAATAATAATATTACAACAAAGTGTAAAAATTTTTTCAAGTTTATATTGTAATCCTATTGTGAGAAACGAGGGCTTTGTTATACTAAGCAGTGAATTAAAATTCGCCCCGCGGTCGACCGGTGTGCGTCGCGCCTATAAAGGTGTAAACGCCTTATAAAATACACTCGGGGATATATCGGAGACAATTTATTTAAGGAAACATTCCTTCCCCACCCCTCCTTTCACTATACTCGGAACAGCGGCGCAATATCGACCGCAGGGCTTAGCATTAAAGTCGAGTTTCCTTTGTTCGAGACAGTCTACGTTTAGAAGTGTGATTTTCGATTTTAAACCTTATGACATAATAGCTACGATTGAATTTGCCATGCAGAAGATCGATCAGCGGACGCTGCGAGCGTGATTGCGAAGCGAATAAGTTATCTCGCACGCGGGCGTCCTGCTAATTTAGTTGTCACGCTGCCCGCTTATTTTTAAACATACCTACGTTCGATACGCGGCGTTGTTCAATGTATTTTTTTGCAATCAGCAATGGATATGCAAATGTTCACTCGTCCGTATTTGCACCGGCTAATTTCCGAACGACGGATGTGCCTAAGCGAGATAACGAACCCCAAAAGGTCTCGCGACGCATTTTGTTTGCTTTGCGAGACGATCGGGCTCCGTTTTCCCATATCGACCGATGCAATTAACGTCAACAACAGCAATCTCTTAGATTAAAATTGTATTCAAGGTTATCACGTAAAGTTGAAGTTTCGTTTTATTTTAAATTTTTATTACACATTCTTTTCTGCATCCATGGTTCTTGTATAGTTTTTACCCGATTGGCTTATTGGCAACCGCCTGCATCTTGCGCCAGTGGGTGTTGGTTCGATTCCCACTACTTGAAAAATATTCTTTGATGTACATAGTTTTCCAGTGCCTGGGTGTTTACATATTTATAATATTTATTTATTTACAAAAGTATGTTTAAGTATGTTTATCAGTTATCTAGTACATATAGTACAAGCATTGCTTAGTTTGGGACTAGAGAAAGTTGTGGAAAAAATGTGTCCTAAAAAAGCTATAAATATCAGATAGCATAGTGCTACTGTCGAGGTACGTCTGTCCCTTTAGGAATTAGAATCAGGTAACGGTCATAGTATCTAGACCACATTTCATAGAGGAATGCGTTAGAATTTGAACTCAATGGGAAAAACGTTAAAACACTAAAACATATACACACAACACAAAACCAAACAATACAACAGCTTATTATGATAACTAAGTAATTTAAAAAAAAATCAAAGATACAAAAAGCACACCGATCCGCAGTGGAGTCGCGTGGTGGACTATGCGCTCTGTACACAGGAGGCCTTTGCCCAGCAGTGGGACGTATATAGGCTGCTCCTTTTTCACTAGCAGGGGAGGCATAGCTGGGCGCATTCGGGCTTGCGCTGTAAGCCTCCGCGCATTTAGCGGCATGCATTGACAACGAAGCAACAAATGGCGGCCACGAGGAGGAAGTGGCAACCCGACACGCTTCCGTCGCGTCTCGGGGCGAGGGGAGGGTGAGGTTGAGGGTGGGGTGGGTGGGGATGGGGCACGCCCACCGCTACACCCCACGCCCGGCGAGGGTCGCGTCCAGAGACAGCCACATGCAAGTAGTTTGCGGGCTTTTGATCCACTCGATCGGGCAGGTGCTGACGAGCTATGACGTACGTCGATCCTCGATTGTTCGAGCAATCGTAATTACTCCTAGAGATTGTTGTTAATGAAAGCTTTATAATTTAAGTGGCTGTTAAGCACGTTTCTCTTTCAACCAGCTTTAGCGCCATCTTTTTGAAATAATCGCCATTAAAAATTTAAATAAAATAATATGAAGTGTGAGGAAACTTTTATAGACAAACTCGTAATTACAATTAAATTAAAAACAGAAAACCGTTTCAGTTATTTATTTATTTCAAAGGTAACGGCAGCAGAAACTGTCTTTAAATGCTGTGGCTACTAGGTAACCGATAAACATACATAAACTTATTTTTCTTTTGTAAATAAACATATTTTAAAGATATATAAACACACAGACACTAAAAAATCTAAAAGTTTGAACAGTACTGGGGAGCAAGAGGTATAGTTATTAAAGCATATTCCAAAAAGGTCATATTATATTCCAAATTGAAATATCCAACTGTATAAATGGCCCTGAAAATACCTCGTGACCAATATTTTTTCTGAAACTGAGTCTTATGAACACATAGAGCAACAATAACCTTACCTAAGAAAATTAGAAAACTCTATAGCAAACAATACCGAAAGCATTCGCATTTTGAAAACTGATTAGTAAGTGAGTTGCGATGATGTGTCTTATTAAAGGAGCTTAAAAACTCCTCACTCCAAAGCTTAAAGGACCAGCTAAGATGGACAGCTAGAAACGGGCCTATAAATTCGGGACCACGGAAAGTGCCAGAAAACAAAAAGGTCCGCCCGTCTATCGCACACGCTTTGCACCTTGCGCTGCCTGTCATAACGTTACCTTTTCCACGGGATTAGATTAAGGAACTGGCGGTGTAAGTTCGGCTCACGCCGTTTGAGAAAAAAGATGCGCTCAAACCAGTGTCGGGTTGCCAGCCTCCGTGCGAGGTCACCCGATACGCCGCGTCGCGCCATTATTCGTGGAGTACTAATTGTAAGGCCTGCCTATGCTCTTTTTGTTAGCGCCGCGCCTTTGTCTCCGACGGGGAGCGCGTGATTAATGATTTCATAATTAGACCCGAGACGTGGGGCCAGCGGAGTGCCGCGGAAACGCGTTATTCGGGCGGCGTTAGCGTCCATAAATGACCCTATGCATGTATATAAGTCACGTATGCACTATTAAATCGTTCTTCCATTGTCACTCGATATGTCGATCTAGTTTCAGTGGTCAATAAAAGTAAAAAAACTGACTTAAGTCGGATCTGAAATTTTGAATGAAAATCCTTTTGGCTTAAATATTAAACTAAAACTACTTAATTTTGAGTCTCTAATAAAGTAATTTGAAAGAGGTCGGTCTAAGACGGTCTAAGACTTTTTTAAATCAAACGTTTTCGCGTTCATTTAAGAGTATTTTATCAAGTCAAGGGTATTATTAGACCGATATGATAGAAATGACATAGCCGATACTTTATAGATAGTTGGGCTAATAAGAATATTTAGACTTAAACAATAGATAACTTGTGTTATCCTACGCCCTGGGTTAATTCAACAAATTTCTGGCAACGTTTGAAAGAGATTTAATCTGACTTTTTGATTTGGTTTGATCAAAACAACCGCGCAAATATCTCATCATTTTAAATAAATAAATAAATAAACCAAACAGACGAAACGTTTGCCCTCCAACAGTGTTATCATTTCCGATGCACATATTAATACTTGTATTTCAACACATATTAATACTTGCGTTTCATCAGAACGCGTAAGCGTCTATGTGAAGAAATATGTTTTGATTTGATTTACTCCATTGAGCATTGAAACTTAACGCTTTCAACTTATTACATCGTATCTAGTCTGAACACCCCTCCGCCGACAATTTGATACTCAACAAGCGAACGTTTTGCTAGTCGAGAGAGCCATTTTTCTCGCGACCGCCAAAAAGCTAATTGGGAGCAAACCCGAGACAGTTGTATAAATAAGCAGATCGTGTTACCTTTTGCCACCACACGTCAGAAATCCATGCCTGGTAAAAATATAAATACAATAGTATTCACTAGCATTGTATTGCGATCGCACTTATATTATAAACTAGCTAATATCCATAGTCTGCGTTACTTACTCAATTTTTTTTTGTATTATTATATTAACAAATCAAATTTTAAAAAAGTAGCCCACTTTCGCCGGTTCTTCTCAGTTCAGCGGCTTTCTCTTCCGAACGGGTGGTAGTATTTTGACTATCAGTAAGTGAGTGTAATGCTCTCATGTTGAATACAAATATTTGAATTAGAATTGATCTGGGTAGTGTACCTGCCCCGAATGGCGTAGTGTGCCTGCCTCCTGCGCCAGAGGGTGTGGGTTCGATACCCCCTACTGGAAAAATATTGTGCGATGAACATGGTGTTTTTCTAGTGTCTGGGTGTTTATATATACATATTATGTATTTATTAAAAGTATGTTTATCAGTTTTCCAATACCCATAGTACTGAGCTTTGCTTTGCTTAATTTGGGACTGGAAAATGTTGTGTAAAAATGTGTCCTAAAATATTTATTTATTATTTATTTATTTATTTATTTAGCAATGTTTTTCATGTGTAGAGGTAAAACATCCATAGTATTAATAGAGTTGGGGCAGAGGTAGAACAGACGCACACACATACATCAGTGAAAACTTAATGCTTATAAATCATTGTTTGTTCTAACTTTAACAACTTCACAACATTTAACGGATAGATATCACAATATTTTTATTTAATTGGGGCCAAGTGCCTATGGAATAACAAAAATAAACTTCGAAGAACTAATTGAAATCTAGCCAGTAGTTTTTCCATGATTCGCGCACAACAGCAGACCTCTATTATTGTATTCATATAGAAGACAAAAAGATAAGCTTCAAGGGCAGAACTACTTTCAACCCCACAATAATAGTTTAAAAAAACAAAAAAGAAATCGCTTTAGTAGTCAATTGTTATAACGTTCAATAACAGATAATGGATAGAGTCGCTAAGGAAATATCTTAAAAAGCACTCTTTTCTACGATAAAAGTTTTTTTCAATCACACTATTATTTGATTGAGAATTATGTTTTACTTTTTGGTTCGGTTATTTACAAAAGCGTGTTGCTTCTTTTTTAAACAAAGTTTACTTGGCACAAAGATACTACGGGGCATCGCATTTGGAAAATAGCTTTTTTAAAATTGCATTCTTATCTGTCCTTAATAAATATGCAGTTTTAATTAAATTTTTTAAATAGGATTTACTATTCAAAACGTTTTATTTTTTTTTTTTAAATAATACGTTTTGAAGTGTGTCAAAAGCATATTCGAAAATTCGGCCACACTAAGCTAATAGCGTGTTAAAAATTAAATAATTTTTTTCACTTTACGAACAACACGTCCAAAGTAGCGAGCAAACACTAGTGTATTTTATTTTTCAATATATTTTTAACCTTTATATAAAGTTAACATAAAATGTGGTCATATTTTTGGTTTGTTATCGATTCATTCACGTTTAACCGTAAAACGCAAACATGTGCCGTAGAGGATATTATATCCGTATAGGATATTATATTAATTATCGACAGAAACCAATAATTACAGATAATTATTTAACGACCTCCTGACAACAAGAACTAAATAATTCAACAGAGACAAAATATATGAAAAGGTGTACAAATAGTGTCGACTAGATTTAGCAGGCCTATCACGTGATCCCAACCTTATATATATATATATATTATCCTCAATTTAAATATTCACAACTACAAGTAATATCACCAAATTCTCATCCTTTTCTAATTCTTACATACATATAACAAATGTGAAGTCAAATGACGTTAATATACATATGTTGTTAAGCTAATTATAATTGAAGGTTAAATGTTTAAAATAATAAATAACTTTATAGACGTGAAATAGTGTCAAAGCCGAACTTTGAACCTTATCTCTTAGGTATGTTTAATGTTTATGCGTTAATATTCAGTACCAATTAGTAAGCCGTTAGTGCTCTAAGTCTTAATAACGAGAAAAATTTTTGAACCATCATGACTTTTTGTCATGAAGGTATCCCTAAAAATACAAACAGATATTATACAAACGTATAAAATAGGATCATTAAAATTAACAAAGGCGTGCTTTGAACAGCAAGCAACTTGTTGCCTGCCGTCAAATGTAACCGATCTTGTACAAATATTATCGGAGCGCGCTTTTTACGGACTCTGTGAGAAGAGATCTAGGCGCAGTTTGGTAAACAGTAGCATTGGCTACAGAACGATATTAAGTTACGTTTCCTCGATCGGAAACATATGGCATATGGTTCTTATTTTATGAATGCTGCGGTGAATGGAAGAAGTTAAATTTATTTTATACTCATTGTAGCGCCTGACATTTTTTTTAAAACATTGCCCTTACTTTAGGATAACATTATCCTGTGTTGTAAGGACGTTTCACAAATATAAATCTCACGCGGTCAAACACCCAGATGCGAAACAACTATCTGTGGGTCACAGAAATTGTCCCGTGTGTGAATCGAACCCACGACGCCGAAGCCGAAGCCTTTGCAACTGCGCCACGGAGTCACTTTGTTGTTCATTTACAAACAATTTTCCATATATTTCATTAAAAAGGTAAGGACTGCGTCTGTGTATGTACCTGTTATTATGAATTTTATCCGCTTCCGAAGCCTGGCCAGTTATTCATGCGCAGCCGCGCATTCCCAACAATTTACAAGTGACTCCATAGGGTTACAATGCGATCGGTGGAGCAAAACATCGCAACTTCGCAACCCATGTCCGCCACTTGACAACTGTACACCGTTTTGGCGGGACGTCGCGACAGTTCCCACGTCATTTGGCGCGAGGTAAAAGGCATCGAAGTGCATTCCGCCATTTCACGGAAGCGCCGTTCTGGAATAATCTGATTGACTCGTTGACATCTCTAGTGTCCCTTTTGTGCTTTATGGGGGATTGTTAAGTAACACTCCATTTGCTAACAGCAACGTGTGATGACAATACGGATATATTCTATTATTTCCAGTTACGGATTGGAATGGTACCATATTTCTGTTAAATGTTTAAGACAGGTTAACCTCATGGATTTATATTCCATGAGCTACACCATTGATTTTCGTTCAATGGAAAATAAAATGTATTGTAAATTACAATCATCGTAATTATACATGATTTTAAAAAGTTGTGGTTTTTATATAATTAAGAAATTTTTTATGTTAATAAGTGTTTTATTTATTTCAGTTGATTTATAAAAGTTGATGAATTAGCTTAAAATATAACAATTTTCAATAATAACTTTATTTATTGGTACTTAATACAATGTACAACGATTATAAAGTAGCAATTTAGTATTTTAAAGATTACAAGCGATCGATACTTTAACTATGCTCTGAGTTACGCAGCAGCTTCTACACAAATAAGCAGACATGAATCTAAATTGTATTTTTGTTTTGGATTGAGATAATCAACTGCACTTTCTTAAAAATTGATAACGCTGCAGACGCGATCTACAGTTGTTGGCTAAGATGGTCACTGGGTGGCATTAGGCAATAATCACTAAACATCCGATGAACAGCAAGCGAACTTACTCCTACCTTATAACAAAACATAAACCTAATAATTTCCTGTATTTACGCGATTACGCTTTTCTAAAGGAAACTATCTTTACGGATTTCATGGTCACGGGACAGACTGTAACTGTGTAGTGTGAACGCTGGTTCGAAACGTCGGGAAATAAAGCTAAAAATAAATGCGATAAATCCGTTAACATAGTTTCATTTAGAAAAACATAAATCTTTTTATCTTTGCTGTCCTAAATTATTTTCCTATTTTTAAACAATATAAATAATGCACAATAACATTTTATTAAAAAAAATTCCGTGCTGACATCTATTATTGAGAAGTATCTAAAGATCGTGTTAAGAATTACCGCCATCTAGCGTCAAGTAGTTAAATCATCAAGAGGTTTTTCTTTTTTTTTATTAAACAAACATCTAGTTCTATTCGTAATTTATACTAATCTACGTTATTGAATTCATTCAGTAATTTGAATACGCTGCGGGCTACAAGCACAATCAAACAATTCAATTTTAGGAAGGGACTTAAGGGGTACTTGTTGCCCTCCAATAAGCGGCCAAATGAGCTAAGTTCGTGTTCGTGCGATAAGAAGAGTATGTTCTCCAAGAGGAGCCGCTTAATCAGTCAGCACTGGCACAGACGTGGAAGAACTCGCCTCTGCCGATATAACTCCTGTGTACTCTAAGCAAAGGTGGATATGACATTACCTCGTTTTAAAAAGCGAACTATGAAGGCCTTATAGGTCGCTAAGCCCTAAACCCTCTGTACAGAGAAGGTTTTTACACAGCTGTGAGACATACATAGACTATTACTTTACTCTTTTTTAAATTAAGTTTCTAATTGTCGCGGCCGTAAGTGTCCCCGCACTATATTAATCCCATTTTACCAGTTGCACCATAGGGTACTTTCCTGATCTGTAATAAAAATCAAAAGAAATCCTCGCGTTATTGCTGCTGCTAACAAACGTTTCAGATGGTGCTGAAAGTACGATGAGGTATAACTGTACAATGCGGAATTGCTCGCATTTAACAGAAAATTTGAAAAATCGAAAGCACGATCTTTTCCATACATCTGATAATTGACAATTAACAACAGATGACGTTGTTTTAAATGCAAAACAATTTTTAACGAAGGTGACATTAAATTAAAAACAAAACTTAAACCCTTTATACCAGATAAATAAAAGTATATTTCAGAAATATAAAAGTACTCTTTGTTTTATACGTAGAACTCTTCGGTGAGCTGTATTAGTCATTTAAATTAAAATGATCTTATGAAGAGAACAATAATATTTTAAAGTTATATAGTACTTATATTAGAGAAAATCGTATTTTAAATAAACAAATATTATTAATTTGAAAGAAAACTAAGCAAAATGATGGAACTTGGAAGAAAATTTAAAACAATGTAACGGGACGTTAGTGACATAACTGCTACCGGCCGGCCGGTTTAACAACTTTGAAGTTTGAATTGAACTTTCTTTTGTTTGGTCTTCTCTTGGTCTTGTTGATATTAGTTGTTAACTATTGGCGATTTAATCTCGTGTTTTTTGGTGATTTTTTTTAGTATAACTTTGGCTTTTCTTTGGACATTGATATCTCCGTTTTATATATTTACCATGCACATTATTTTGGACCTCGAGTTGCTTGCTTCTTGATCTAGATTTTTATATCATGACTTCAAAAAACGATTGTTGTGTACGTGAATACACTACAACACGTGGTAATTTCCTTCAATTTTTTTGTATTTTATTTTGTTAAAGTTTACGGAAAAGCAATAACTAATAATGTTGCAGTCTTTATCTACAAATACATTAGGTAAAATCAATATTAATCAAAAACACTTTTTGCTTTTGCAGGAACTACACTAAATAGCACAGTGTCAGATACTGAACCTATCGACAATCCAAAACTGATTGTACCACCAACATCCACAGGTACTGTTATTCCACTACTGTATATTAATAATAAGAAAGTAATTCTTCGTTTCGTCTGATGAGTGAGGTAGCCGGGGCGCACTTTATTAAAAGGTGGCAACACACATCTGCTACCCTACGGGTATTGCAAATGTCCATGGGCGGCAGTTATCACTTAACATCAGGTGAACCGCCAGCTCTTTTGCCACTTTGCCTCGAAAAAAAAGGTTTTTTTAATCAATAAGCTTCTAACTAAAGCGATGAAAAGATATGATGAATGAAAAATCAGTTAACAAGTAAAGAAGAATTAACACCCTAACCAATATTTTAGTATCTTAATTCTCTTTAATTTTTGGATTTAAAGGTTTACTACAAACATCCTTTGTTTTTTTTTTTTGAGTGTTTTGACTTAGGCAATATCATATATGAATAAAATAACAAAAGTCATAGTTAGCTTTAAAACAATTATATAAGTTTTTGTTCATAATTTAATTTTGTTACATAAATAGATAATTGCAAACAGATGAAATTATTATAAAAATATAAGACAATTATTTCATTTTATTTAATCTGAGGAGACACTTGGGTCAGTCTAATTTTTCAGATTAATCAGTCATATCCATTACTTATAGGTCCTAGATGTTTTGTATGAATTTTTAGCTATTCTATTCCTTATTTGTAGTGTATATTTTTCAACAATGTTATCAATTGAATTTACCAAAACTTCATTTGAATTTAGCATATTTTTCAGATTCAATTGTGCCAGAGAAAAGTTCATCAATACAATGTGGTACTTTAAAACAACAAGCTAGAACAAAGAAGAAAGGTAAGGCTAAAATAAAGAAAAAACTTATTTACATTTGAAAGTTATGGACAAAGCACAAAAAAACAATATATTTTTTTAGGTATATCAAGTAAATACAAGCATAACATTATAAAAATAAAAAATAAAACAGGTAGCTTACGACCAGTTTCATATTCAATCTACGGATAGATTTGGTTACTGGAGACAGAATTTTGACATAAGTGCTATGGAGCTGATGTCAAATAGCTATCGCTAGTAACCAACTCTATCTGTAGATAGAATATTGAAGAAGGGTATAAGATTAAACCTGAAGTCCCTTTGAACAGTAGTTGAATAAGCTGCCCTGATGAATCTCTTCATGCTAGTGTAATAGTTGAGCATCTTTTTTATTTCAGCGTTGAATAACATCCAGAACTTGCAGAAGATTATTAAAAAGTTGCAAATGAAAAAGAATGGTTATGCAATGCGGCTGGAGAAGGCTCTTTTGCTGTCTGAAAATAAAATGTTCCAGAAGTGTTTACAAAAACCCTCAGTCCTTGGAGCCTTATTCACTATGAGGCAATTTAGAGAAATTGCAAAAGAGAATATGGGAAGAAAATTCACAATAAAGCAAAATATTATGGCTCTTAATTTATATAGACAGGATCCAAAAGCATATAGATGGCTTAGTGAAACCTTTATTTTACCATCTCCAGTAACACTGAGTAGGCTTATATCCCATCTGGGCTTAAGACCAGGGCTGAATAAAAAAAATTTTATTCAGATAAATAAAATGGTTCAGAAAATGACTAAGCGTGGAAAATTGTGCATTCTCCTATTTGATGAAATTTCAATAACTCCTCATTTTGATATTAACAGAAAAAGAGACATCAAAACAGGAGTTTTAACAAATGAAATGAAGACCAAAAGGGACATAGCAGACCATGCTCTTATATTTATGTTACGTGGAATTTTGAAAGATTATAATCAGCTAGTTGCATATACATTTTGTAAAAGAAGTACTGCGAAAGATAGCTTAAAAGTTTTATTGAAACAAGTGATAAACAAATTGCAGAAATGTGGTTTGAAGGTTCTTGCCACAGTCTGTGACCAAAACACAACTAATGTTAGTGCTATAAAACAATTAATAAATGAAACTCGTGAGGATTACATTAGAAGAGATAAAGTGCTCAAAAATAAAGTATTTGAGGTCAATGGACAGGAAATTGTCCCACTTTTTGATCCACCACACTTGATAAAGGGGATTCGTAACAGTTTGATAACCAATAAATTGAAATGTGTCATTAAAGAAGAAGTAAAAATTGCAGATTGGGACCACATTATTAAACTTCATGAGAATAACCCTGCATACAATGGAATTAGTCTTATACAAAAGCTCACAGATGCCCATGTCAACCCAAAAAAGATTTCTAAAATGAAGGTGAAGTTGGCTACTCAAGTTTTTAGCAGGACTGTCGCTGCTTATATGGGATTTCTTGCTAGTGAGTAAAAGAAAATTGTCTAACTCTAGTTCATTGATAAATTTATGATGTTATGTGCAATAATGTTCATTCATGCTTTTCAGATAAAGGAATACTTCCAACAAACTATGAGGATACCGCAGATGTTTTATTATTCTTTGATCAATTATTTGATTCCGTAAATGGCAGCTATGAAAATTCAAGAAAAAGGACTGAAAAGATACTTTTAAGACCAGTGACGCGAAGGTCGAAGCACAGTGAGGTATGGGTAAATGCAAAAAAAGTACTAAAATCAATGACATTTGTAACAAATGAGGGAAGGGAAATTGTTGTGCCATCAATAAGAAACTGGCTTATTTCGCTAGAAAATATTGACATTTTAAGAACGAAACTATTTAATAAATACAAATTTAAATCTTTTTGGATGCGCCGATTTAATCAGGACCCTTTAGAGGATTTTTTTTGCTGCATTCTGTCTGATGACTGTAGAAATATATCACCAATACCATCAGGGTTTGAATCAGATTAAAAAAGTTTGTTATTTAATTTATCGAATAATTATTCTTTAGGGTAAAATTTGTGAAGAGGACCAATACATGGAATATTTTTAAGAAAATACTAAAGAAATCATAGAAATAATTTTTTATGACATGCAATGTGAAATTGTGAATTATGAAGAAAAAAAGAGCAATAGTAGAATTTACAGACAAGTCAGTTAAGTTGTAGGAGACTTTTTTTAGAGCAAGTTTTTAGAAATTGGAGTAAATATAAAGGCATTTTATTTAATAGGGATGGAAATGAATACATAAAATTACGAGAATTTTCGACCATTTACTCAAAGAGAATGTAATTACATTTACATACTACTGCATTTACTTATCCTTGCGAAAATATCGTGCGGATGCTTTCCGCAGTTCAAGATGTGACAATATATTAAAAAATAAGAGGAAATGCCACAAATAAAAAATTACATATAAACGATAATGTAAATTGTCATTGATTTTATTAACTTTTTGACTTGCCCACACCACAGTAAAGACTCGGTAAAATTTATTTTTGAAGTGGTTTCAAGATTTTTTATATTGAACTGGTGCTGCGACGTTAATAATTTGTTAAACAGTACTAGAATCAAAACCATTCAGAGCAAACAGTAAAATAACAAGCGAGTGAATATTATGAAAAAAAAAATCGCATGCCCTATTTCTGTGTTTTATTTATTTTATCCAAAAATAAAATCCAGCAAGCTTGTATCCAATAATTTTCTATACAATGTTATCAAATATTAATTACACTATAAATAGAAGAATAGTTTTATGTTTAGCTATACATATGAACTTGTAGTTCGGTAAAGTATCAAAAGATGGCGCAATCTCGTGAGGTCTGACGACTTCTTAATATTAATAATGTACTCTGGTCGAAGCCACTACAAAAGAAGTTTGTCGAAAAGGGTTCAGCAGTGAGCTTGTAAAATAACCCCACCAAAGGCTAGCCAAAGGCCTCCCCTGTGCAAAGGTTATTAGGAGAATATTCAGGGGTGGATTGATATATCTATAGGTCAAGTAGGCCCGGACCTAGAGTGGCAAAACTTTTTCTTTAGTGGTCGGGCCTTTAACCTCTCGCTTTTCCGATATTCCGTAAAAATTATAATAAATCCACGCTGAGTAGGTAAAATCTATTTTTATATTCCAATACTTTTTTTTTTTTCGTCTACATTTAGTAGCGGATATCTTGAATATGCCTAAAGCGACCAAGGGTTCAAATCCATCACTGGCAATATTCCACCGCTTGAACCCACTGTGGATTCGCGGACTTTACGATACATATCTTTGAAATAGTTTTTTCGCAATTATTCCGAAAATGTGCAGGTTTTCTCACGATGTTATTGTTCAACCCTAAACAAGTGATAAGTCAGCACTTACAATTTCATTGATTAGTGATGGCACAGGGGATCGAACTCAGGTTGCTTGTGTATATTGAATTAAAAATGAGCAAGGACGACGATCAAAGACAGTGAATTTGAAATGATAATGATGACAATGGTAGAAACAGAATGTCAATTTTAGGTCAGAAGGTTTTTTTACTGCTACAATCACTCTATTACCTTAAGATAGAACAAGAAATAAACTGACACATTAAAAAGATAACATTAATTTTACTGTGTAATTTTAAATACAAGCATACACAAAAATTTTATACCAAAGAGTCATATTAAATACTCCTAATTAATGTCTTAATTATAACACAATAATAATCTGCTATAGTCATGGAGAACAAGATACATCTATTACATATATCGATACAATGGCACTTTATAATACAATTTCAAACACAAATTTAATTTGTGTTGTATGCCACTTATATAGTTTCAATGCATACAGCGAACTCAAATAAATAAATAATAAAAACATGTAACTATATCTATGTCCAATCAATGGCCAATGCATGAGGATAATTTTAAAAATTCAACTAACAAGTTTATTACCTGTTTCTTATTTATGCTACGCAACATTGCAAATGTTAACTACTCAATGGAAATGCATAGTCTCGTAGTAGTGTATTATACAAAGGATTTGAAAATTTCTTTGTTTAAAGGGTACCATTGTTATGAGAATGTGTGTTAGAGATAAAAGTACAACACTATTATGCACCCTCCGCTTTAAAGATTATAATTATCTGGCAAGTATAGTTTATGAAGCCATTATACAAGCTCAATATTGTTTACTAAAGTTATTATATATATATAATAATTATAAATGCAATCAAATAATAAAGTTCCTTCAATAGCCACCTCTAAAGTTTAACAGAAAAACTTCTTCTGCTTCAAGAGTTCACTATCATCATCACTTTCTGAAAAACATTCAGCAAAACCACTTTTGTCCCTCTTCAGCGATTGTCTACTTTTATCTGCACTCTTCTTTGACTGTGAATATCTGCCAGTATGACGCTTCCTTCTAGAAGTGTCAACCAAGCAGTTTTCTCCAGGATCAGCTACATTCACTGCACCTGTTGAACTGACTTGCTCTGTAGAGTTGCTGATTACTAACACTGAATTCTCAGGTTGTCTAACTTGTAAGCCAATTTTTCGCCCACTGCGTGTTCTGGAAATAATCTCTTCACCAGGGTTTTCTTTCCGGTCAGAGTTGTTAAATTCACAGGACATTTTGCATGCCCTTTTTTGTCTTTCCGGACTATTTCTAGTGCGATTTATTTTAACTGGAGCTGCAACAGCAGCCTTGCGACGTGTAGGGTACCTTGATGTGCCATAAGATTGAAATGATTCATTTTTGTCAGGTTGTTTCAACTCATTATTTAATAAGCATTCTTTGCTATCCGTCTGCTTGGCATCCAAAAATTTCAATAAAGATGTTGCTCTGCTGACTTTTGTAGATTTTTCACTATTATTAACAGTAACTAAATTAACAACATTTTGTGATGAGTCTGTGCTGCAGTTCAAAACTGTGGAATCAGGTAGGCCAGTATTCATAGACTTATTTACACACATAACAGTCCTAGTATCTGCTTTTTGTATTCTTTGTTGTGATTCTTTTATAAAATCTCTATTCAATTTATTTCTCACATTTCTTGGTGTCTTATTTGAATTTATTTTTGTCGATCTTATGTAATTCGCAGTGAAGCCAGAAACATCACTCATATCCTCGAATTGACCATTAAGAGCCATTTCATTTTTCGATTTTTTATTTACATTATCTTTATTTTGGTCTAAAGCTTCAATATTCTTTGAATCAGTTAGTGCATTACTTTCTAATGGCTTATTGGTATTTTTATTGTCTGATCCAATTTGATCCAATCCTCCACTGGTGTATGTGTAGTTCATTATTTCAAAAGAACTGTCTAATTGAGTATTATTATTTATATTTTTTTGAGACTTTCTCAAACTACGTCTCAGGGCTGTCACTTTTGGTGTTGATGTTGCTACATTATTTTTTTTAACATAAGACAATTTACTTGTCCTCTGCAACCTCATTCTTTTAGGTTTCATTTGAATAGAAGAATTTTTTATATTAAAGTCTATGTCTGATCCAACAGAGCTGGATGGAACAGGCTTCCCATTTTTCAACGCTTTTTTCTGTTGGTCATCAGATGTAAAAAATATTACACTTTTTTCTTTTTCTGTTGAATAAGAGTCACCATCTAGCACCAATTTCCTTTTGTTCTTTTTCTTAGGTGAAGGCACTTCTTTAACATCATTAATTTTAGGCTTGTTTTTTGAGCAATGAGCTTGTTCATCCAGCTTACTATTTGTATTATCAAACCCATAAAGGCATGGTGCCCTTTTAGTATGCACCCAATATGCAATTTCATCCATGTTGTTCATAAAGGGACTGTCAAAGTGTGTGAAGAATTGGTACGAGTTGTCCTCAACAGCCGGGACAATACTAAAGAGCACTGGCTTCCTATCAAATGACAAAGGCACTGCAGTGGTGACATCCAATTGCAAGTCGCAGTCAGCAGCATATCGCTCGCGCTTGCCTCCGAATGTCTCATCAGCGGTTGCCGGTTTGAAACAATCAAATCCATTGTTGTCACATTTCATAAACCTAGAAAAGAAGTTTTTATTGTAACTTCAACTATTAACAATGCATTTACCATCATAAATATGATGTATGGTTATGAAAAAAGTACATAATGCTATTACGATAAAATGACAGCTTAACCGAAAATGTGGTAATGAAATGAAAAAGCGATATAACAGCAACCACAGTATGGTTTGTACATTACTTTGTATTTCCATAAGGCATTATAACTTTCCTTAAACCCCTCAACGCCACTGGGTCCAAATAGACTCCAACAACATCTTAAAATTACGTATTTACGCTTACATTTTTCAACGTATTCAAAAGCTATTATGTACATAACTAGAAATTTTACCTTAATTTTAATATATACGTACTGAATATATTAATTATATTTGGCGAATTTGAAAGTCATTTAATCGAATAAATTAAACGTTTATAAGATATACAATACAAATAGAAAATCAAAATGAATATGTAGTTGATACTAGAACTTCACCGGAGAAAAATTAAGTAAGCAAGCAATAATGTTGCCACTTTGTCACCGAATGATTGTATTTGTAATAAATAATCAATCCAAAGAATCAATAAAAGATAAAAGTTTCTTTAAAGTAAGTAAAGTAGTAGAAAGTAGGTTTTATGTTAGCGTTGGTTAAATTACATTAGCTTTGAGCTTTCTGCTAAATATAACAAATACCAACTAAATAAAAACAAGTCCTATGCTAATAAAACTACTTCGCTAAATTCTCGTAGAAAAAAGAAAAATTCGGCGTGTGGTATTTGAACTTGCATCATAAGGTATCGATTCTTTACTAACTGGGCTAAGTGGCCAATGACTGATTATCCACGTTTTTTCTATTGCATTTTTAGCAACGCTTGGTGCATCTAGTGTGCATCCTTTACAGCTTACAACACCTTACAAATATAATTCAACGATACCTGATCATATGACATTAACTTGTATAATAATTAGTACCTGAAGGACCTACAAATTACTATGTAATGAAATATGCATAATATGTTTCGATCTTACCGACGTAATAATAAGAAAATATTAAAGAACTTTAAAAAAAAGGGAAAATAACGAAATAACAAATCGACAAAAAATAAAAGATAAAGAATGCAATGATCTGGAATCGAAAAAAAAGTAAAAAAATAAGTGTGTAAATGATCGCGATACGAACCAAGGCCTTCTGTTTCGTGGCTGTTTGTTAGCGGCCGCCCGATTATCGACTGAGCTATTATAACATTGTTTTTTCAGTGAAATTTACCGTCGTATTCGAATAATATTTTTCATTCACTGAAAACTGGGATAAAACGACATTTTCTAAAAATGAAACCTAGTCAGATCGATTTTTCGCCCCCGTATCTACGCACATAATAAATTTCATGAAAATCGCTGGAGCCGTTGATAGGTGATAGGTAGTTTATTGATGTCCTTCTTGTAAAACTCTAAAAAGCTGGACGGGAGGCAACAAACTCTTCAAGGCATTTCGTACTGCCTCTCGGGAATTGATATTTTTTCCTGCCAACACGTTGTCCAAATTTTGAAAAAAGTAATATTCGATAGATGCTAGATCTGGTGAGTATGGCGGATGAGGGAGAGTTTTCAACTCCAACTCTTGGTGACTGTCTTGTGCAGTATGGGGTCGCGCGAAGTCGTGAAGAAGCAGCGGGGATGACTGATTGACCAAAGCTGGTTGCAGATGTGCGAGCTTCTCAATCGTTGTGACCCAACGACGCGAATGGCGTCGTAGGTAGTGTACCTGCCTCCTGCGCCAGAGGGTGTGGGTATCGAAACCCCACTACTATAAATATTGTGTGATGAACATAGTATTTTTCTAGTGTCTGGGTGTTAATATATGTATATATGTATTTATTTAGAAAAGAAAAGTATGTTTAAGTATGATTATCAGTTTCCTAGTACCCATAGTACAAGCTTTGCGTAGTTTGGGACTAGAAAATGTTGTGTAAAAATGGGTCCTAAAAATATCCTAAAATATTGTCTTCAGTTCTTCACAGTACACACCTGCAGTTGAACACAGCACATACCATTTTGTAAAAAGAAAAAAAGTGGGGTGAACACACCACACCCGAACTAGACCACCAAACAGTGACCATAACCTTTTTGGGGGTCGTTCTTCGTTTAGGGCATTGCTTTGGCGCTGAACCAGGATCTAAGCAACTTGCTGCGCGCTTTATATTTATTTTAATTTTTTTACTACCTAAATTCGAACCAGGCAGTGACCGCATAGCGTAGTTCGAATCCAGGGTGAAGGAGTTTTTTTTTTGACGATGTACCTAACACATTAAAATTTGTAGAAAACACATAACCTAACACATTTTTAGTTTCATCTTTAGCATAGAAGCTATTAAAAATAAAAGTTAAACTTGTTATTTTTTTAGATTAGGTCCCCACTATTAATGGTGGTCCTAGCCGGGGTTCGAAAATCTATTAGAGGTTCATGCCATGCGTGGGTTGTCTACCCTCAAATATGTTGACAGCTTCTTTATTAGAAAGAAGCTGTCAATAGTACCGGTATATTTTTCGATTATCCAATGCAAATCGTAATAATATAGATAATATTTAAAATTTATGTTTTTTTTTTAAGATTGCAATTAAAACTATTTCACCATATTTTTTTGTAATAATGTACTGGATTTGGAATAACCTGTTATACCGTAGACGGAGAAAACAATTGCTTTCTTCGTTTAAATGTAGCTTGTATATATTCCGTAGTTTGCCGAAAAATCTAGATTAAACATGAAATTTGTTGTTTTTTTGCGATACTGAATCTGTGCTTGGCAGGTCACTTAAAATTTTTGCGGGTAAAATTGTTTCCTTTTGTATAATATCATAATCTCTAACATATCACTTCGTTTCTTCTTTAATGTAATGACTATTTTGTGTAAAAGAAAATGAATTATTTACAAAACATAATAGACCGCCAGTTAGGGATATGTAAGTAATGTTTCGACAAGTTTTGAAATTGAATTTTATTCAATTAGGTATACTAAAAAAAATCTTTGTTTTAGTTTGCCGTTTTAGCTACGATAATATTTTGAAACGGTTGCTTGTTGATCGGGATGAATCTTTTTATGCCCTACAAACCAATACTTTGGCAGCAACCTTTGAGCAAGATCCACCCATTTTCGCCTGTCGATTTTCGGAAGCCGCCGGTTACGAACACATTTTAGCACTCGCTAATGAAGATGGTAGAGTTGCTATACAGGTATAGTTTTAATGTTATTAAATCCGTATGCTTTTTAATTTATAAAAAATGTGTATCGTAAAAACAAATGACATCTGAAACTTCCACCTTAAAGGACAAGTTAGTGCTCTAATAATTTCATTCTCTTTATATTGGTCAAAGTTTCTACAATTCCATGTAACTATTTACACTAACTTGCATTGTGCTGCCTGCCCTTACCCCCATAGAGACCTAAAAATTGATTATTAGATAGTCAATTACGTTTTTCAAGATATTTTCTGGTCTTTATACTACAGGTAATCCAGGCTATGGTCAGATCAAATATCATTAATTTTAGGCACATCTACTGGGAAAGTACTTGTAGATTCTTTAAGTTTTGCAGTGATGTTGTATGTGCAGTAATTTTGATATTTGTTTATTTTATGACCATGTAAATATTTTTGTAGGTTTCTGTATTAATTCGCTAGGATTTGTGTCCTAATTCTACATAATATTTGGGACTATTGCCAGACTATTACAATGCATTTATATGGTTCGACTGTTTGATCTAAAATCTTCTTTACTTCAACTATATGTGGATCATGATTTCCCTTTCTACTTAAACTACACTGCTGGCATAAAGTTTGAGATGACCTAAATCTAAGTAGTAAAATGAAATAAACCCAAAATATAAAGCAAGAGGTTTCTTATTTACTATGCATACATACTGTTACATACATAATATTTTATACATTTTTTTTCTGTAAAACCACTCCCTTTCATTCAATTACTATTTTTACTAATATGAGTATATGATAAATGGATTTGTTGTTGTATCTTTGGAAATATTGTTCCCACCTTCTTGTAAAGCCTTTTGGCAAGGAGGCACAACAACTGTGCACATTTCTTTCAAGCTTTTGTCACTAAAGCTCTGTTTTGTTCAGAACTGGGTTCTGAAGGGGACACACCATGTTTTCTAACACCCCCTCTGTTTCTTGATGTTCTCAATAACCCCTGCATTATGAGTAGCTTTTGGATCATTATCTTGTTAGAGAAAAATTCCATTTACAATTAATCTTAAACCAGACGAAACACCATTTTGCTGGAATACATGTTTATACTGCTCCTTTTCCAAGATTCCTTTGATTCATACCAAATTTCCATTTATATGGCCCGGGAAGCATCCCTAGATCATAATGCAATCATTTCTATGCTCAATGATGCAGGGCTTTGGTTGTTGTGATTTATGCAGTGCTGCAATATAGTTTAATGTATTTTTAAAAATTAAAATATTAGATAGGAACGTTAAATAAAGAAACTGAGAAAGATATGGATTAGTATATATTAAAATACTTTTAATTTACTTTAAACTATACATAATGAATAATTTACTCTGTAAATATAAATAGCCTAACTTATGATTAGCGTTTAATGCAGATTACAATACATTACATTACAATACATACATTATCATGATTATGACTACAGATTGTCACTAGATGGCGCCTACTTATTCTTTTAAAGTTTTTGAAATGAAAATATTAATTAAAACTTTTCAGTTATTAAATGAGGATATTATACGGATTTTATCGCGTTTTAATTTTCATTTCCGACTTTTCGAAACCTTTGCATTTTATTCCCGTGGACATGAACGCTAGAAAGGGTAATCGCGATAAAATCCGTAAAATAGTTTCATTTAATATCTATAATATTCGCGTAAAAACAAGAAATCAATATATTCCGTTATTTTTTTCATATGATGTGAAGCAGGGAGAATGAAACATATAATCAAAGCAATTCAACAATCTCTTAGAGAAAGAGATCCTCGGTTATATCCTATCAAGTGTTGTTTTGGTTTTATTTTATTGTTATTAATTTCAATAATTGAGAAAGATCACTTGTTTTGTGTACCTTAGAACCTATTAAAAGGTGTTATTCATAAAAGTATGGTTTAAATGTTGTAATTATTTCGGCAGTTTAGTAGTAGATTACATTCATTAAGTGTTTTTTTAATTAGCTTCAACTGGTGTTATCTTTTTTCGTCAAACAACGATCAGTTCTCAATAAAATAAATAAAATAATACGATTAAAATACAATACATCCTTAAAATCGCATAATATGTGGACTACAAAGATAAAAAGTTAAACATGAAATGATAACATCGGATTTTTTTAAATCACAAAAAGTATTGCATTGTTTTCTTTATACACTTTGGTTTTATCATTCCATTTCATGTCAGATTAAAATAATCTGTATCGTAAAACTAGCTATGATACATTCCTTGTAGATAAATTGAGACATAATCAGTCATTATAGACGTCGATGTATAAGTACAACGTCGATGTTTACTTTATGTCGCACATTAACACATTAGTTGCCATTTAGACTTCGTAGAGGACACACGCGTGTGTAAGCGATGTTCTTAACGGCTTTACTGCTAATGTATTCGGTCCCTTAATAAATAGTCCCTATATTGATAGACAACATCGTCTATATGTTCTTTGTAGTTATGTGATCTGTGATTTTATCTGTGCGACTTTAGCATAATTATATACTGGTCTTATTGAAATCTTTATCAATTGTCAAGTGAAGATAGCTTTGAGGAAAAAAGAGCTTTGTCACAAACTCTGTTTGGATCGATCAAATTAATCTGACGGATTTCGAAGACCTTTTTCGTCTAAAATGAGTCTTTTCTGCGAAATTAATTTGTTCAAATCGTACAAAGAAGTATTCGTAGCTGGAAGTACGGTCAAAGGCGTGATAAGATACGCAGTAAATCAGGAAACTATATTTAACCAAATAACTGTGTCACTGAAAGGAAAAGGACTTTTGAGTTTGAAAAGAAAACGCAATGACAAGAGTAAGGAAGTAACCTACTGGGACAGCGAGGATTACTTAGACATTAGCAATGAAATAGTGGAACCTGAAGAGCAACTGGTAATTTCGGCGGGATCCTATGAAATTCCGTTCAGCTTCAATTTGCCCCATAACATTCCGTCATCATTTCATTATTCGAGTAGCGATATAAACCACGACGTCTCATGCAGCATCCGGTATAATGTCTCCATCAAATTCCAAAGGCCCGGTTGGTGGAAATTCGATAAGAAGTATAAGAAAGAGATACAGATCGACTCCGGCATAACTCCGAGGCTACCTCTCGAACCAGCTGTACACGGGAAGGAGAAGAAACTATCGCGACTGTTCGCTCGGAAGAACAGTGTCGTAAACATTAAAGCTTGCGTTGCGAAGTCGGTTGTTGTCCCAGGCGATAGGGTTGAGTTGGAATACGAGGTGCAGAACGACACCAACGTTAAAGTGAACGCGGTGGAAACCAAGATAGTCGAGGTGATGACGTTCAGGACCAAGTCCACCAAGGTGACGCAATCACGTGACGTCCCCGGCACCGAGTGCAAGGCGGGCTCGATCAAATGCAACGAAAACCAGACCATGTGCGTCCCTATAACCATGCCCGTGGATAGAAAATCGCTGGACTTCTCGCGGCTCGTGGCCAGGGATTACTTCGTGATTATGACAGTGGAGCTACCGTTCCCGCATTTCAACGCTGTATTGCGGATTCCTATTCAGGTGGGCGAGAGTTTTGCGAGTGACCAGCGCGAGCCGCCGCCTTCCTACTGGGAAGCTATGGGCGAAGAGCAAAAGGACGACAAACATTCGATCTAAGAATCCAATTACTCAAATTTCTTTGTTAAACAATCTACGATTAAAAGCCACCACTTGAAAATGATTATTTATTGTACCCCTCTCACCCCTCCGTCGCATCTGAAATGCAGTATTGGGGCCCGTTAGTAAATGCTTAGTAATCATGATTATTTCTGATAAATTTTCATCATATCTGATAAACGTGTGACGTTGTGAGTAAAATGTTGGAATATTTCCATAGCTATTGTTTTGTAAAACCTTTAGCCCAATGACCAATTTTCGTGTGTTCATAATATAAACTTCATCGTATAAATGATCCTTGCGCCATTTCTAAGATAAATAAAATAAATTGTTGCAACTTTGAATAAATATAGGTCATTTTTATGTTTCACTTCTTACTAGTAGATAATAATAAGTGTTCCTACAAACTATTATATCTTTATATAAATACCAATACTTTTATTTTAATGCCTTTATCGCTGCCACAAAGGCTTACAGATATTCTTTTCCAATCGTCGAACAAAAGAAGGCTGATTTTCTTTTGTTCGACGATTGGAATATATATCCACTTACATTTTACTCAATAAATACGGATTATGGTTGCTTCTTATACAGAATAATTTCGATGAGATAGAAACAAAGGGAAATTTTAAATAATTTGATTTATCGAGTTTTTAACTTACTTACGCCCGGTTTCTCATACACTGATCATCGTAGAAGTGAACTAATCAGCTGTTAAATGGCTTTTCAAATTTCATTTTAGTTGCCAAAAGCATGGTTTAACTCTTTGAATTGATCATTCTGATCTTTTTATCTAATATTAATAATTGATAACCATCGCCAATGGACATTTGAAACATCCGTAGGGTACTACTACTACACGCATAATGAAATGATTAACTGACAGAAGCTTTAAGTTATTGAAACATTATTTTCAATGACTTCGGTTCAATGCCCATTTTATTGGTTTAGGTTATCGAGGCTACGTATTTTAAGTACAAGAAGTTTTGGGCTCTGTGGTTAAGGTAGGTTTGTTTTTACTGGATCAAGGTTCTACTGTATAAATAACAGCTGAATGAATGTCCTTATCATTTAAATATTTAATAGTAACATGCACTAAAGGTGAAACTCAAAATGTGTAGTTAAAACCGTCGAGAAAATTTTTCGCCGCTGTCAGCATTTGCACCTCCGTCGCTGAGAGCGCACGGTGACTGTTTTCCCCGGTAAAATTTCGATGTGGAAACGGCAAACGACCTGGAACTTTCTTTATTTACATCTTCCCCGTTCCATTCACACACCCAAGACTCTGTTCAGCCTCATTTGGTCAAATTATCGTAAAAAAATCAATAATTTTTTTTTTATAGTGCTAATCTCTGCACTTAAGATTGAACATTAAAACATGTAGAAAAAGTACGAAAAGATAGTCCATTGTTGTTGAAAAAGATTGATGCGCCAAGCATTGCTTCAAATGCTAAATAACAATGTAGAAGGAAGACGTTAAGGTTTTCGTCGCTGTGGCTATCAGCCGTTTAGCTAAGTGGCTAGAGCGTCAGGCCGCGAATGCCGAAGACGTGGGTTCGATTCCCACGGCGGCGACAATCTTTTCGTACTTTTTCTACTTGTTTTAATGTTAAAGAATCAATCATATCATTTTTAAGCGAACACTATTATTTTTGCTTTGTCGACAGGACACGTCCAGCAATGATCCAAAAAGCTCGTTGGAGAGCTTTCAGTGTCACAACAACGCTGTCTTTGACCTCGCCTGGATGCCTTCCCAAATGAACTTTGTCACCGTCTCAGGTAAGAACTTAAATAAAGAATTTGTCTATTTTTAGTACCAAGTGATTTGTTTTTATATAATGCAATGAATACAAACCGTACCATTAAAATATTTTTAGGTGATCATACCGCTTGCCTCTGGGATGTCTCAGACGGAGCCCCTAAAAGAGTTCTAGTCTTCTCGAACCATACTAGGTCAGTAAAAACTGCAGTATTCCCACCGACAAATCCCTCCGTTTTCGCTACTGGCGCCAGGGATGGACACATTTTGCTTTGGGATATTCGCGCCAACAATCAACCTAGCGTGGTCTTAAAGCCAGATAACTGTCTTATGAACTGCCACTCTAGTTTTACACCCAAGACTCCAGGCTCACATAGCAAGAGACCGCGCTTAGACAATCAACGGGCAATAAGCATCACTGGTCTCGTTTTCCAAGACGACCTCACTCTCATATCGTGCGGCGAATGCGATGGCAATATTAAGGTTTGGGACCTGCGCAAGAATTACAACATCTACAAGAGGGAACCACTGCCGAAGCATTCCATACCATACTGTGGGAGCTCCGCCAAGAACGGCTACACGAATTTGACTATCGATGATGCTAGAGTAAGGTTGTATGCGAGTTGCATGGATAACGTCATATACTGCTTCAATATATCCACGTACAGTGCGGTTCCAGAGCAAAGGTATATCGGGCACGAGAACAGCACCTTTTATATTAAGACTAGCCTGAGCCCGGATAGCATGTATCTGGTCAGCGGCAGCAGTGACAAAAACGCATACATATGGAACGTGAAGTGTTCCGAGCCGGTGGTGAAGTTAGTCGGCCACTGGGCGGAGGTGACCTGCGCCGCTTGGTGCCAGAGGGGCGACACCAAGATAGTGACGTGCAGCGACGACGCCAGGCACAAGATCTGGAGGATCGGCGGCGAGTTTGTCGGCGGCGACTGCGCGGACCTCAAGGGCCGCGCCGAACTAGTGCCGCGCACCGACCTCGCCAGTCTGCCCAAGTGGGGCGCCACGGACCGGACGCCGAGCTCGCTCAAGAGGAAACAGACCGCGACGCCGGGCTCGTGCGGCTCCAAACGCCTCAGATCGCACGAGCAAAACCCCGTCAGGAGGACGAAGAGGTGCCTCACGGACCTGATGAACGCGTCCAGGTCCTCGGACACCGAGGAGGCGGAGGTGCTGGTGAAGAGGCTGAAACTGGACGCGGCTCCGACTCCGGAGATCAACGAGGCGCGAGCGGGCTCGAAGAGGCCCGCGGAGCCGCCGCAGCCGAGCACGCCCAAGAAGAGGTGCGGGTCCGGCGCGGGCCCCTCGGCGGCGCCCGAGTGGGGCTACATCGCGCCCCGCGACGGCTCCTGCTTCCTCACGCCCACCAAGAACTACGAGCGCAGGGCGTGCAAGGCGCTGTCGCCGCGCAGCCCGCGCCCCATCTCGCCGCAGAAGGCCTCGCCGCCCACCAAGGGCCTGCCCGACTTCGTGGCCAGCGGCGAGGCGCCCCACCTGCGCCTCATGTCGCCGCACAAGCGGCGCCCCGCGCGCCGCGCTCCCGACTGGCTCACGCAGCTGGCGCGCTCCGCCCGCCCGCCCGCGCCCCGCGCCCCGCGCCCGCGCCGCCCCCCCGCCCCCCCCTCCCCCCCCCCCCCCTCGCCCGCCCCCTCCAACCCTTCTGCCGCCGGCCCGCTGCTCAGGTACTTCACCGTGGCCGCCAAGAGGCAGTGAGCGCCAGCTTCTATTCCCTTTTACAAATGACTGACCCCGACTTGTATTGAATATTTTTATCTTGTAATTTAAGTTTCATATGGAAACTGCGAACGGCTCGCGTGAATTTGAATTTATTTAGTTTTAACGTTAACACTTGGGACACCGACGCAGTACTGCATGTGACCCAGCGGCGTATTTTCAACAGCCGACAGTTGCGCGGCGCGTCCCTCGCATAACATCACACCCCTGCCGCTGCCGATGCTCCGCCTGGTGCCCTTAGTCTAAGTGAAAGCTCAGTCTTGCACTGAAGCGACCCGTACGTTTTTCGGAACTCATGTGATTTAATTTTGTAACGATAAATATAAGTATGATTGATTTTTTTAAGCTTATCTTTGTAGTGGATGTCTTTTTATCTATTGTGGATCTGTTAAAGAGAGATAATAAAATATTTTTTATAATATCTTTATTTTAATATAATTATATAAAAATGTTTTTCTATATTGTTTCTGATATCTTTAGGCAGTAAAATCCCGGCTTTGGACAGTTGGTTCATTCTAAAATTAATTCTGGAAAGTAGCTAGGTTTCTCTTCGTTTTTATGGCATGGAATCTTACAAGATTGGCATCCCCCTTTTTTTGTAATGCTTGCAATATGAGGTTCACCAGAATCCTTCCTTTCGGCCTTTCTGTACCGGGCCGCTGCAGATTATACATGTACACAAGAAAGAGAATTGTGGATAAAACGGAACCCTGTGAAACACCAGTTAGCAGTCATCAAATCGGATAATCAGCCTTACTTACCACTTGGAGACCATTCGCTTAGCAAGTTCTTTACCCCAAACATTGGACCAGGGTCTCTTTGTACTTATTTACGTATGCTGGTAGCTTGTTACGGTGTCTTAGAGTGCCAAACTTTGTTAAAGGCCTTCGAGACATCAAAGGGAAACCGTAAGTGCCTCGTCATTGTTTTCCGAGGTCTTGCCACATTAGATACCTTACTAGATAACCTTAGTAATGTAGTCTGCTATTAGCCGGGTTGCTTTTAACCTACGTTGTGAATTTTTCAGGTCATATCATTGACTATATATTAGGTATCATCAGGTGAGACAATAGTCAAGCATTGACCGGTTCTTGGATTGGAAACTAAAGCTTACATTCATAAGCTACTTAGAAAAATATTGTTTCGAGTGTGTGAGATATTCAAGGTATATTTACATTAATTTATCACTACTTTATCGTGTGTTAATACACCTTTATCAACAGCGAGACCGTAATTTACAAAAAATAGCAAAACGCTTATCCTCTCGTCTATATCGATAAACACGATTGATTATTATTTCTTCTTTATGCGTTAGAGCCGTTATAGCTCGTCCGGGACCCACATATTTACTAAACAATTGCCCGATGAGCGACGCTGAGTCTCTTTAGGAGGCTCATTGTTAGAGACCACGTCTAGGCACCGTAGGTCATCACTGGCAGTACGCATTGGTCAAAGACTTTTGTCTTCAGTCTTCAGTCTGAGTCTTCAGCCTTTGTGGTAATCTGGACGTTAAGACGCTGCGTAGCTTTCCGAACGGTGCCCAACCGAGTTGGATCCGTCGAGTAACCTCTCTCTCGAAATTGGACTTGCCTAGCTGGACAACTTGTCGTAGATATACACATTCGTCAACAATTTCGAGGGCCGAGCTCTCCACAAACACTGGGGTGGGCACTACATGGGCATCGGGCATGACTTTAGTCTTGTCCAGATTCATTTTTAGACCCACCTGTTGTGAAACCCGATTGAAGCTTTCTAGCATCGTGCTGAGTTCCTCCATCGTCTCTGCCATGACCATAATGTCGTCGGCAAATCGAAGGTGAGTAATAAGTTCGCCATTGATGTTAATGCCGAGTCCTTCCCATTCCAGAAGTTTGAAGGTGTCTTTCATTGCATTGGTGAAAAGCTTCGGAGATATTACATCCACTTGCCTCACACCTCTCCGCAACAGAATCGCCTCCGTGCTCTGTTCCTGTACTCGGACTGACATAGTTGCGCTATTGTATAAACAATTCAACACTTCGATATACCTATAGTCAACCTGACATCTTTTGAGGGACTGTAGCACTGCCCATGTTTCGATGGAGCCAAAGGCCTTCTAATAGTCCACAAACGCTAAGCATAGTGGCAAATTATACTCCTCGGTCTTCTGTATAATTTGCCGCAGCGTGTAGATGTGGTCTATGGTACTATAGCCTTTTCTGAAACCAGCTTGTTCGGGAGGCTGGAACTCATCGAACCTGCGAACGAGCCCTTCTTAAAGAAAAGCACCACCAAACTTTTGCTCCATGCCTGAGGCGTTATGCCTTCGAACAAGACGTATTAAAAAGCTTCTGCATTACCTTCAGAACCGATATTCCACCCGCTTTCAGAAGCTCTGAAGTAATTCCGTCTTGTCCTGGCGCCTTGTTGCTCAGTTGCCAGCGATTTTGATTTTGATTTTGAAGCTGCTTGAGAGCCATCCTTATCTCGTACAGGCTGATGTCCGGGATATCTTCGATGTAATGTCGGGCAAGCTTGGCTCTTAAGTCTTTTGGCCGAGTTGCTAACGGGCTAAGCAACCGAGGTGTACAACTGTCCATAGTACCGCTCGATCTCCCTCAGCACCTCCGGCTTGGTGGATGCTATACTGCCGTGTTCCCTCTTAAGCTTAATAGACAGATCTCTTGCAAAAACTTTGGAGTCTTTGTTCCGCTCGATCATATCTTTAATATGATTTGTATTAAATACACGAATGTCATGCCGCAAGGACTGAAACATCCGTCTATTGAGCTGCCGATATGCCTCAGCGTCCTCAGGAGATTGCAGTTGCATCGAGCGTCGTTCTGCCATCAGGTTGATGGTATCACCAGATAACTTTAGCGGCCTATCTTTATGACGGGGTCGCAAGAATTTCGATCCCACCGTGTGGACAGTTTTTACCAGCCCGTTATTGATATCGTCCACAGAGACGCAGTGTTCCAGGCAGGCAAAGCAGTTTGTCAGTTCGAGCTGGAAGCTTTCATGATTTTGAATATGAGGCACAGTGGGTCGGAGCGTGGACTTCACCAGGCGGGATCTTTCTAGTTTGACATAAACATTCAACGGGCCTCTGACAATGCTGTGAATCACAGAGACATCGTTGAATATTTGTCTCTTTGTGGCCATAAAAAAGTGAATCTCATTCCGCGTGTAACCGTCGGGGCTCAACCAGGTCCATTTCCTCTGAGGCGGCTTCTTGAAGAAAGAGTTCATCATAAAGAGTCCCTCTTTCTCTAAATTCAGCCAGCCTCTGGCCCCTAGCATTACGCTGCCCATATCCAAATTGCCCCATTCTCAGCACGTTGTCACCTCTGTTGCCCATTTTTGCATTAAAGTCCCCCATTACAATGCTAAAGTGTGTTTTGGAAGTATGTATGTATGTATAAGTAGGCCCTACTAATGTCCTCATACATCACTTCCACTTCGTCATCTTTGTGTGCTGAGGTCGTTGCGTAGGCCTGTATGACCTTAAGCGAATATCTTTTTGATATTCTGAGAATCAGGTAGGCTACCCTGTTCGACACACTCGTGAGGGATATAATATTATTAACGAGGGACTTGTGCACGAGGAATCCAACACCACCTTGGGACTGCTGATCGCCCTCCCGGTAGTACAGCAAGTTGCCGGACTTCAGAGTTATCGTGTCCTCTCCCTCTCTTCGGACTTCAGATATCCCTAAAATATCCCAGTGTAACTTACCCAATTCTTCTTCTAGCTCGTGCGCGTGTTGTAGGTTACCAGGGGCAGCCTACGTCGTCGGTTATCCGGTTTAACGTTTGCCTGTGCCGTGTCGACGGGAGGAACCCGGCCGAATAAAATCTGTTAAGACCTGACTCAGGTCAGCGTTTCTTCTCAAATTCCAAATAGCAAATCTATAGTCTCAGTGACTCCTTTAACATAAGGTAATAGCAGGCACTCGCTTAAGTGTGGCTGGTTTCACTCGGTCACTGTGATGCAGGTCCGGGATTTGGAGCTTGATGTCACGCAGGACTTGCTTGACATTGTGTAACTCAACCGCCAGGTGTTCCTTGCCACAGATCCCTCTTTCTCTCTCTAATAGACGAATCTGTGGATCCTTCACGGCGATAGTATTGATAATCACCATTTGAATAGTTATTTGGACTAATACATCTGGAAAGGCTAAGGATGTTAAATTCCACAGTGAATTTAATTTTGGGGTGCAAAGAATTAAGTTGGTTTAAAAATGCAATTACTTTGTCTGATGGTAAAATAGTATAAGTATCTGTGTACCGCTTGTAAAATCTTGGTTTAACGGGAGCTGTTTGAAGAGCTTTTCAAAATTTTCCAAACATATGTCAGAAACAATGGGATATACTGAGCAGCCCGTTGCGTCACCATCCGAAATGTATAACGCTGCTTTCCACAATAGGTAGCCAGATCTGAGCCAATGGTATTAGTAATATTCTAATAATATAGGTACTTATACAAGTACCTCATTAAATTAACTATGTGATACATCTTGCTCTCTCCGAATTTGTTATGATTTGTTTTGTACTATGCCCTATAAACAGGGTCCATAAAGAACTATTTTACTAATTACCCTAACACCTTTTGTTACTTATGGATGTGCAATAAATAAATATTCTATCGGATTTTCCGGAAAGTCCGTGCTGATTTTATAAAGAAAAGTGTGACCCAGCACGTTTAAATTTTGCTATACATTTATTAAATTATACAGGTACCGTTCTGACCCATAATCTTTTTCCAACATTTCACGCAACTTAAGAATTCCGTCTCTGCATAAAACCTCGGGATTTCGGGTGCAAGGTTTGGCGAATACGGTGGATTGGATAAAATAGCCCCATCCAAACTATGACTTTTGTCGCGTTGTCAAAGGCACATGAGGCCGGGCATTGTTTATTTTTGGCCTTATTACTAGACCTTTTTTTCGTTAGCTGTTCAATTTATTGAATTTGTTGAGCAATAGTTTTTCGAATTTATTGTTTCATTATTCGGTAAAAGCTCATAATAAAGGATATCTTTCCAATCGCACCATATACAGAGCATTATCTTCCTCGAAGTTTCTGAAGACCGACTTTTGGGTGATTGAAGGTGACGCTTTCCCCGAGACCTTTTATGCTGAACGTTTTTATAAATTATCCATTTTTCCACCCCCGCCACTAATTGCTTCGAAAATGGTGGTAGCAAATGGTGTTGCGATTCAACAGATTTTTCTCCGTTTAATCGTGCGGAATCCATACATCAAGACGGTTTACGTAGCCATGGTTGATTTTGATTTATTCTAAATAACGTAATGTTGAGCGGGTGTTCCGCACAGTTATTTCGTGTAAAGCCCAAGGAAGGTCAGTTGCCTGTGTGGCCCATGAAATAAAAAAATAATCTCTGAAGCAGTATGAATATTTACTGATAAATATTCATATTGTTTATTAAATAAAATTAAATATTTAGTCAGAGAACATATTATTTCTCGTGAGTGGTGAGAAGATCTTAATAAGACGTTGGGCCGTTCTGTATGTTGGCGAGTCAAGCTTACAATTGGGTGTAATAGAACATTGAGTTAGTGAATTTAGGTAACCCATACAATTTTTGGGGTTTCACACATGATGGTATTATCGAATTTACGTTCAGTCAGACCAGACTAAATTTTTTTTTGTTATGTGATAAGTTGCCAAACGAGCAGACGGTTCACCTGATGTTAAGTGAATACCGCCGCCCATGGACATCTGCTACACTTGAGGGTTTCAGATGTGTTGACAACCTTTTGGAAATTGGGCTCCGGCCACCTCACTCGCCGGACGAAACGCGAAAGTATACTTTCACTTTACGCCGGTTTTCAGTGAGGTCGTGGTACTTACCGTCTGTGGTACTTACCCGGACGAGCCTGCCCATTCGTGCAACAGCTGAGGCTGCTGCGTGGCCCTACCACCGAAAATTTCTAAGAGTTTTTGTTTATCTGTGTGCTAGTTGATTCAAGTGTTTTTGAAGTATGATCTGTATGGTGTTAGATATGTCCTTGTGGTCCTTGTGCCGTGATCATTAGACATCAGATGTAACGCCTACTCGCTTCCCGAATTTTCACATAAAAAAGAAGACATTAGATCATATCTTCCATTAGGAAGGCAGCTCCTTATTAGGCCAAAGAACCAAAGGCCACCAAGAGTTGGCAACAGTTCTATCTACGGCCAAACCCGCCCTTGGTAGAGTTAGGCGATGACTGTCATATTCTGCTGAGGATACCAAGTTTTAAGAGCCAATTTGGCTTTATATTCTAAGTGACAAAAAATATTTCGAAAAAGTCAAATTTTATTTCTTTACAGATTAAATGCATAACAGAGTCCATATTTAGTATCAATTATTATTTAGTTTTATAAAATTATTCACTATATACAGCGTGTCTTTACAATGGCGAAAATAAATTAACACACATATAGAGGATAGATTTTTAAAATTGTATTAAAGATTTACATTCTTTAAACATCAATATTTACCAAGTTATCAAACTTTCCAAAACATAGAATTTTAGAACACCCTTACGTATAAAACTATAACGTAAAGTTCATTTCTAAAGGTCACAAAGCATATGAATGGGTTGAAGGAATTTAAAAGAGACAAAACATACTGTTAAAAGAAGAGGCTTGTAATGCGACGCTGTAGCGCGAAGTGTATAGGATGTTACAAATTTTGTTTCTTTTTTACTTAATTAGTTTGTTTGAAAAATATTTTTTTTTAATTATGGATTTTGTTTAACGTTAATATTTTTTTATGATTATTGGCAAGTAGCGTTAGACGAGTGTTCATTTATTGTCGCGATGGTAACGACACGCTGTATAAAATTATTAACTCTCAAAAAAATAAACAATTTTTATTAAAATATAATTTTAAAAATAATTGTTAATTTTTTTGAGAGTTATTGTTAATTTTTGGTCCTCATTTGACGTTAAGATACATGTTTAAATGTTTTCAACTACTTAATTAAGCTGGCTAGTGTCTGAGGAGTTCCAGAAGAAGGACGTTCGAATCACGCAGTGTCGAGCTTTATAAGGATAATTTAAAATAAAAAAAATGTTTAAAAGAAGGTAAAAAAAATCACAGGATTGTAAATTGCACCATGCTTTGGTGAAAATCAGATTTATCAGAACTATAAATAAATTTTTCTTAAATTTTGTTTGCATAATTTCAGTACTAAGTACACATTTTTACCATCTGAAAAATAGTTGTAATCGTTTTATTAATATGTAAGTGGGATTGTGCCAAGTGTTTTCATAGGGGACAGTTTGGAAGCCGTTGATATAAAATGTATTAAAAGTCCCTGTTTTTAGCCTCAACATGTTGATCAGATGAATGGTAGTTTTGGCGCATACAAAATAATTAAGACGAGAGATTTAAATTTTTCTTTAAGTGACAAAGTGCCAACGAGCTGGCGGTTCACCTGATGTTAAGTGATAACCGCCGCCCATGGACATTTGCAACACCTGTAGGGTTGTAGAAGTGTAACACTTCTACAACCTTACCCGGACGGACCTGTCCATTCGTGCAACAGTGAACACCATTGCGTGGCCCTACCACAGTAAAAAAATGTAACCAATCTGTCAATGTTATTGCTACGCTAGAGGGCGTGATAGAATTGTTTGTGGGACGTGTATAAGTTTTCCAAGGCATGTTTAGAGGTTCTCGTGTTAGGTTGCGGTCGAAATGAAAGACTACGGGCAAGATGTGCCATCGCTCACTCTTTATTACGCTTGTTAATTCAATATATAAAACATAATATAAATAATGTTGTAAAATATCACCGGCCGAGGGGAGCGGGCTCCTCGGCGCCTCTTCCGGACGAACGGCCGGCGCACAATTTGTTATCCCTACTACACCTAACCACCTTACACTTACACCTACCACTCGCACTATGTACATTCGCCCGCCTCTCCCCTCATCTACCTCCGAAACGTCCACCCGCACTCACTCGTGACCGTTTCGAAAAATTTGTTAAATGTCATTTGAGTTCACTGAGTCCACTCGCACCACCGTACTTTTTTTGGTTCGCGTTTTTTTTTTTACATTTTTAACGTTAGTTTAGTAACACAACAAGAGTAACAGAAACGTTTAGCCCGGCTAAGTCTACCAACGTAAGTAACAGACAGCTACGTAGAACGGGACGCGACGTGCGTCGATCCGGCCTTGGCGCTCGAACAGAGTCGTCCGCGATCCTATTTGAAGTCGAGAATCATGAAAATGGACGCGCGGTACGGCTTGGATCGGGAACGCGGGCCGCCATTATTCAACCGCATCTGCTCGAGACGCGGGCCGATCGTTAAAACTAACCGATCAATTACGAATCGACACGCGCGACGTAATACTGAGATCCGGTCGGGCACGCACCGAAAGAGGCCGCTGCGGCCGCGCACTTTGTACTTTCATTCGGCCTTACGGCGTGTCGCGTCGCGGCTCGTGTCGCGCCGTGTCGCAGTCGCGGCCGTGACGCGTCATGACGCGTCGCGACACGCCGTGACGCGTCGTGGCACGGCGCGCCAGCTCGCGTCAAGCGGCCGCGCGCTCTTCGCGTCGGAAACTCTGGAAGGCGAGGGGCATCGCGTCAGTCAGTCAGCTTTTCATTAACATTTTCGTAAATAAGTCGTGTTACAAAATAAACTGTAAAAGTAGATTTATGTCGACAATGCCGATATCTATCGAAATTAAAAGAAATGTTGCGAGTGAAAAATATTTTGAATAGGTTATCGTTTATCAATTTGACAAAGACTTAAACATCGATACATCTTGCAGATAAACGATAGATAAGGGCTATTTTTAATATGAACTGATAAGGTTACGAAATAGGTACGGTAATAGGTATATTCATAATCAGATATTAATAGATTATAGCAAACTCAAAGTTTGGTAAAGCGATCCGACTAATGTTAAAGAGGTAATCGCCATCCATGGACATCATTGTTGTAAATACGAGTACGTTGCTAATCATTATAAAGTCGGCCCAGCTTACCTCACTTACTTTACTTTCATTTTACGAGGCTAAGGGATTTCCCCGGATCAGTCAGCCCATTCGTGCGACGGAAGCTACCGCGTGGCCCTAGCGCAGTTGTTTCGATGGACACCAAAATGTACCAGGGAACCAGGTGTGGCTAGTGCACTACTTACTCACGGCTCGGGGCGTCACCAGCAGAAGACCGACAGCTCCCCGCCGTGCGCGCCGCCCACCGCGCGCCACGAACGCACCCCACCCCCCACCTTCAGCTGCAAATGCACATTCAAACATCGTCACATCGTCACGTCCACACCGAACAGCGCTCCTGCAATACATCACGGAGCTAGGGAGCTTAAGATCATTCGAAAGAGTCTAGGGCGATCAATTCGTTTCCAGTGTGCGTTACCGTCATGTATATAATCACTAATAATATTATAACCTACACACAAACATTCCTCAATTTTTTTTTATTCAATAATTCAAACATTTTGATCTTTTTCTGGGATTTTGTTGTAAAAACGTATACACTATCCCATAAAAGATTTAATTATTCTTGGCAGTCTGTTGAGGGTAGAATTAGTTTTTATATTTGTTCGTAATATTATATCATGCACATCTCAGTACTTCACTAGACAATTCACTGAAACGGCGACCCCTTTCCGTGCCGCGGAAATATTTCACCCAGACGTGAAAGTTAACTATGTTAAAAAAAAGTGGAGCCCATTTTATTAAAAGGTCGTAACGCATTTATAGCCCTGCGGTTGTTGCAAATATCCATGGGCGACGGTTTTCGCTTAACATCAGGTGAATATTTCATCACACCAATATTTGATTCAGATATAATTGTCATTAGTACGCCATAAGATGTTTACGTTCACGGTCAAACATAAAAAAGATTATTAAGTATGTGTATATTTTAAGGGAAAATTTATTTTATTTTTATTTGGTAGATGGTTTAAAATGCGTAAAACACGTTACGCGGAATGAGAGTTTTCCATTAAGAACAATAGGTACAGGCGAACGCAGTTGGCGTAACGCCGATTTGGTGTTATGTCCGTTGAAAATAGTCTCGGAACGTCCGAAGTTGATATCCGCAAGGGCCGTTGATTGTAACACGAGACGCGGTTGGTGGATGTCGCTCCATTGAGGCGCGCCATTCAGCCAACACGCGGAAAACTGTTTTAAACGTAACGGCCAGAGAAAAGCCTTATGCGACCGATGCTCTTATTAAGACCCTTTGCTCCAAAACTACCGTGGCGCGGTACTCAGTGCGGGATTTCCACCATGAATTAATGCATTTCAGGTCAATTGACTTTTACATTTGTCAAGAAATGTATATAACTTGAAGCATAGTGAAATCGGCAAGTGAATTTCCTGGAGTATTTTTACATGTGTTAAATCAACCCGCGCGCTGTATTCTATTCGCGTTTCGTATCGATCCCACGGACTCCGCATTCGGCAGCATTACAGAAATAAACTCGGCACCCGCGCCGCGCACACCGAATGCGTTAATATGCATCGTCCGCTATCGTACGCCGTTTTGACTCGTTTACAGCTTACGCAACTCTGCGACGTGGTTCCAATGCGTTACAAAACAAACGCGCTTTGCACACCGAAGACTTTTTTTGAAGGATCTTTCACTGTTGGCCTTTAAAGATCTACCGGGCTTGAGGTGGGCGGGCGCTGGGGGCGCCTAGCCTGAACCTAGTCTATGAGGACGAAACCATCTCTATATATTTTTTAAATATATATTTTTTAAGTGTTTTCGTCGGTGCTCCATAACTTCCCATAGTTCTTCATCAAGCTTAATGATTCAAATACCATTTTGAAGTTTATGTTTGTCGATATTGACGAGAATGACTTTAAAATTAATGTTTTAGTTAAAAAAGAAACTTTCGTTTAATTTATTATAAAGAATTACTTATTGATAATTCCTTAAAAAGCAAGGTAGCGAAGTAGATTGAAAAACATTCTTCAAAATAATACATAGTTACGCTATTGGCTATGCACGTACTGACCACGTTTGTTGATTACTACGCTGAGAATATTGTACGAAAATTTCACGCGAGCTCAACTAGTTCTTTAAACTCCCGAGACTGAGTGGTGTATCATGAGGTATAATTTGAATCGCTTGACATATTTACAAGGTCCGACAGCACGGATAACGAAATCGTATAATCGTAGCTCGCTGTCGTGGGTGTGTGTGAGTTCGATGGCCCCTCGGGACCAAGATTTGTGTGCATCATTAATATTTCTGATTTTTAATATATCTTCTTATATGCAATGGAAATCATGAACAAACCCGCATTGGACAGACATTGCCTTGTCGGGGAGTCGGAGAGAAAAGAACAACTGTGATTAGAAATCTTCATAATAAAGTTATTATAATACACTTGGCGGTCATAAATTATAAAATAATTATTATATACATAATTATAAATATATATTTTCGAAAGAACAAACAGGACTTACTTACAATAGTAGAAGTCTTCCTTTTTAAGCAAAAGTATTACATCCAAATGCCTCTGCTGTGTTACGTTTGGTCGACTTCTTCTCGGTCTGTCTTTGAACCCGTGAAATTTACTTATAAAGCGATTTTTAAACGAGTTGCATTCACGTCGCACACAGTAGATGTAGCAGTGGGTTTCCTATTATATTTGGCATTTTGGATATTTGGTTAGGCATTACAAATATTTTATGATTCTTTTATGCGTTATAGGTAAGAGGTTGGGTTTGAATATACTTTATCGTATTTTAAAAAAAATTAAATCATACATCGTTAGATTAGAACATCAGTTGAAGGCACAAGATGAACAACTACGTACTGCAAAAAATCGGCAAAAGTAGGCTTAATTTTCTTATTACTCGGACAATTTCCACAAAGTCTACCAAGCTCAACAAGACCAACGAATTCAGTTAGCATTTTCCATAGTGTCACCTTAGGTAAGATTACCTTTTCAAGGAAGCCATGTTCGTATTCATATAAGTAATGAGAATTCTGAGAAAGAATCTCTCCTTAACAGTTACGTCACGTCAAGGAAAAAAATATAAAATGTTCGATTTATTTTAATAAAGCACACACGTGGAAGCCCCCGAGGATCGGATGTCTGTTTGTTGAGGGCGGAGAAAAAGCTTTCTTGCAAACGCTCCTGGGGGTATCGTCGGTAATTCGAGCGTTTCTACCTCACCGGCTGGTGGGTTTGGTTTACAATTTCATGTTATAATTAGTGCGTTCACGCGACGGAATGTGTGATAATTTATTTTACGTTTAGCTTTCGAATTGGTTTGTGTTGGCGGGCCATAGTTACGATAGGGACGATTATTGTTAGGAGAAAAAATTATAACTAAATATGATTTTTTTTAAGGGAAAGAAAGATTTTTGTATTTACTTATATATTTGACAAGGCATATGAAAAAATGTTTACAAAATATATAAAAATTATGTATGAAGTGTAACAATCACTTTAACGACAACAATACCACATGAAAGTAATTGTAATTAAACACAACACACGTGAAAGAGGTTTTGGATTATACTTGAGAGATACGATTCTCACAATTAAAGCAACCTGTCTCCATACTTAAACATTTAGGTTGGAAGTCCCAACTTTTATGGTACATAGCTGATGCACAGTCATAACATTTTGTATCAGGGAGGGTAGCTTATGATGCAGCAAGAAAAGTAGGTTCATTCCCACGTCCCCAGTGGTTAGGCGTAGGGTGTATAAGTCTTTTAGAATCTTTCTACGTGGTTTGCAAACAGCCTATTTTATTTGTACAAACCAGCGTAAGGACTTGTTTTTATTTAAAATGCAAACGCTATCCTATAAATGAAGAATTGGGCCTTAACAAGGGTTCCCGTCTCACGAGGCCAATCACGAACTATTTTCTAGCGGTTTGAACATGAAGCCCGAAGGTTAGTACGTCGACTCAATAAGCAAGATGCGGTTTATCTTAAACCAGATTAAAATCACGGAGAGACCGCGAGGTGCGGTGCGCTTGCATAGACGAGACATTGGTTTTAAAACTATCTTTGTCCGCATATTCACCGCTAGACATTAATGGAGCTGAATATATTTATTCGGTAGTGACAGTTTTATATTCTACCTAGCCTTTGAATATGATAATAAAATAGAGACGGTGCAAACACTATGCAAGAGCATCGGTGAACGACATATCGCTCGTGTATTGCGACAACTTGCCTAATCTAGGATTATGATTAACCGATAGCGCAAGGAGCACGAAAACACATGCTGTGTGGTAACCTCGGAGCCTCGTTGACGGTGGACGTCGTAAATTAAAAGGAGATAGCTAATCTGGATTACGGAAAAATGGAACGAATTCACGGACGGTAAATAACTGTCTCCGCTATCACAGAAATTGCGCACAGCCTCACATTGACAATCTGAATGATTACATACAAGTACTAGCGGACCCGACAGACGTTGTCCTGTACACGAGACCTAAATCCAAAGACAACTTCAAATAAAAAAAAAAACAAATTGTGAATCTAAGCCATTCTCGAATCGACCTGAAGACACACAAAAAATTTCAATAATATCGCTCCAGCCATTTAGGACGAATTCAGTGACATATACACATATAGAAGATTTATATTTATAAAGATAAACGAAGTTCCTAAATTCTGAAGTTGTTTCAATATATAATATTAACATGTACAAATTTATTTCTGATAGCTTTACCAAAACCAAAACCAAAAACAAAAGAAAATAAAAATAGTTGCAACAATTTCTTTGGGAGTTCTTGGCAAAAATAGGATAGGTCGCATAGTGGACTGTATTTATACCCTAATTCCCTCCTTAGAGAGGGGAGTTTTGCACATCAAGGTAATGTAACAGCATATATATATGACATAGTACTAGTTTTTATATTAAGTAAAATGATTCTCGAACCAGCGCTCGAAACACTATCACGATAGCGTAGGGCCAACGTGTCTCTTATCGGATCCGGATATATCGAATGTTTAATATTTTGATACAGCTTAAGTTCATTAACCTTAATCATCGTGAATATCCACGTGTTATCCGTATCTCTTAAGCCAAAGAACGATAACGTTCTAGCTCCCTTATTAAATATATACATAATACGAAAGTAAAACGAATGGAAGGAAAAGTAAATATTGTGAGGGACTTATATCTTTTCATTCATTATCTCCAATTATTTTTACAGTGATTAATCAATCAGGATCAACACAAAAAAAAATATTTTCTATTTTTTTTTATCCAAGATTAGCATTTTTTAATTACGAAAAGAGCGGATTTCATTGTAAGGTGACGATAATAATTTATTTCATATTGGGTTAGTTTTATCTGCAGTTAAGAATCATCCATTCATTTTCGGCTATGCACTGTACAATAGAAAAAGCCTGTTTGATCATATGGACGACAGAGAATGTTTTAATGAAACGAATAATTTCTCTCATCATGTAAACTATAAACCTGTCATTATTCTTACGACAAACGTCAAACATTATCAGTTTTAATTCAAAGCTTCGGAATATTCTAAATTGTAAATATATTGTAAGCTGAATCTATCTATGGGTTTATTACCAAAGTTTCCTGAAAACTACAAGTCATGGCCACAAAAACGAAACTTCTTTAATAGATAAATTGTCGAAAAATCATATTTTCTTTATGTGAGTAAGTGGCAAACGAGCTGGCGGTTCACCTGATGTTAAGTGATAACCGCCTGCTCATGGACATTTTCAACACCCGTAGGGTTGCAGATTCGTTGCCACATCTAAATAAAGTGGGCCCCGGCTACCTCACTCACCAGACGAAACGCAGAAATGCAACACTTCTACTTTACACCGGTCTTCTGCGAGGTCCTGGTACTAACACGGACGGACCTGCCTATTCGTGCAACAGCGAACACTTGCGTGGCCCTACCACCGAATTACGACTTATTTATTTACTTTATCGGAGACAAACGGGAACATAAGACATAATAAACAATAAAAATTAAGATACAGCATGCGGATATTTACAGCTGCTCTCTTAATTAATGTCTCATTGGGAAACACCTCACTTTTAGAAAGCTTTCAAAAAGTGTCAAAGCCCCTCTGGACTAGGCTGTCAGGGATTCTCTGCTTTCAGGTTTTGCAATTCCGGCTCATATTGAAAATGAAATGAGATTTAGAAGAGTACTGAACGTATGTTGATGGGTGACCCACGTCGAATTCAATACGTTGCAGATTTACATACCTTATTTACATTAAGGTGTATAACCTTAGAGTTAATAACTTAAGTTATATACCTTAATGTGAATAAGGTATGTAAATCTGCAACGGGGCAGCGTCGTTGTGGCCTCTGCTCAGTGGAATTCCTAGCCTTATTAATGATCAAACTATACCCGTCCCATACACCAGTTGCGCGTTGCATTCCTCGCTTTTTTCCAGTCTCGTTTACCAGACAGGTTAAGTTTCGCTTCAGAGGTAGCTTTCCTCAAAGATATAAATTAAGACGGCACAATGATTTTAAACAGATGCTAATTAAAAAAACTTAACAAGAAAAAATATTGTTTTATATGTTACAAACTAATGACTTTTTAATCTATTCCATGTGTCAATCGATTTTACTTTAAAGGTTTCTGTATAAGTTATTAAACACACATTAAAGAACCACGGTAGCTCATTGGGCGCTCACGTTTAAATTTAGTGTAAAACACAAATAAAATTGATAAACGGCTATTTACTACATGCCTCATACAGAATTGCAGTCGCTTATCTTTTGGGGAATTTTTGTTATTTTTTTTTAATTTTTAATATCTGGGATTATTTACAAATATTTCGAAGATGAGCAATCGACAACAAGGCAAGTCTCTATAATTAAATTATAGATGCAACATTGTCCAAAATTATAAACTGCTAAACAGTTGCAAAGTTAAAGAGCTCTTACTACATTACAAATGGAAACGATGCGAGCTGTACCGAATTCAAGTCATATGTTGTGGTAGAGCTAGGCGGCGGTTTCTGTTGTTGCCAGTTTACCATGGACGTAACGTTTCGGCCACACGGAACCCGCTCTTGAAAATCAAGAATTTTCACTTTCATATTTCGTTCCGTAACGGAGTTATCAGAGGCTGGCCCTTTCAAGGTGACTCGACCAACTCCTATCTGCCACCCCACTGTTGTTATGGACGCGCATGGGCGATTATGACAACTTCCCGTCAGGTGTATCGCGAACCGCTCGGTAGTTGGTCCACTATACCATTTTTTTTATGTGAAAAGTTGCCAAACGAGCAGACGGTTCACCTGATGTCAAGTGAATACCGGAGCCCATGGACACCTGCCACCGCCGAGGGTTACAGATGCGTTTGACAACTTTTTAAAAATTGGGCTAACCATTATTTTATAAATCGCCCTCTCTAAATTTAAACTAACTTCAGGATAGCTAGATGACAAAACGCGACACATAGCGCAAAATTAGAACAGATGCGGTATTATCTCGGTCTCTTCGTTAGTTTCGTGTGAATCTCTATCACAGGACTCGCTAACTTTTTAGGCTGCAAAAAGTTTGTTTATAAAATTGTGTGAAAAGTTGTCAAGCGACTAGTCGGTCCACCTGTGAATACCGTCGCCCATGGATATCTTCAACAGCCGATGACTTGTACCCGTTGATAACATTAAAAAAGTGGGCCCCGGCTACCTCACTCGGGAGACTAATCGCGTAAGTTTAACACTTGCACTTTACGCCGGTGTTACTTGCTCGGAGGCACCTACCCAATCGTGCAGCAGCTTCTGCTGGAGCACGAATGGGTAGAAAGTGCCCTTAGCTTCGTCGGTCACATTAATCATTATTCGGTCGCCGGGACGTGATCTGGAGTGGCACATTATCTTGGGCTATCGTGCAAGATGGTCTGTTGCTCTGAAGGCGGCCTGTCCATGAATCGCAAGGAAGAAGAAGCCCACACTTGCCATGGGAGCGGGCGGACGTTACCTGTTGCATCTTGTCGAAGTCGAGGGCGGGGCGGTGGCGTCGCGGCGGCGGCAGGGCGACGCGCCGGCGCCGCGGCGAGGCGCAGCCGTCGCCGCCGCCCGCCGCCGCCAGAGTGCCCGCCCCCGCCCCCGCGCCCGCGCCCGCTGCCGCTGCCGCCCCCGCCGCCGCCGCCGCCCCGCCCGCGCGCCGAGGCTTCAGCGCCTCGAGCGGCGGCGACGTGCGGAAGCGGACCGGCGTCTCCACCTGGAACAGGCGTACGCAATTTTCTGTATTGAAACCGAGTTTCAGTGAGACCTTTGGCGGAGATTTTAGAAGTCCAAGTAAACGGTGACCAGTGGAGAAGTTTCTGTTTGACAGCTGCTTGTCCCGTGAGAGTAAGAAAGAGGCAGTTCTAAATGATCGTCCTCTCTAGCCGCTAAGCTATGTGGTCAAATCTATTTTCTTTTTAATATATTTTTAGCAATGTTTGGCTCTATCCACTGTGCTTACCTTACCTCACTTCTTTAATGATATGTATAACTATGCCTCAGCAGTTTTCTACTAAATAGATCATCTCTCATCACTGAAAAGTGGTTAGAATATAGAAATAAGGGTATATCGCTGCAGACTAACCGGATGCAATCCCGTCAGATGCTGTGGCCTTAAGACCTTCCAAGTTAAGTGAAACAAAATCCAAAGCTTCGGTTCGGGACAAACTTGAAATGAATGCAATTGAAGGCGACACATGGACAGACAGTTACGGCCGACGGAGTGGGTACCTTGGTGTCGTCGTCGTCGTCGGAGGGCGCCCTGGCGGGCAGCTCGTCGCCGTCGAGGTAGGGCTGCGCGGCCCAGCGGCGCTTCTCGGGCGCCGCGCGGGCGGGGGAGGAGGCGCCGCGCCGCCGCCCCTCCGCGCGGCCCGCGCCCGCCGGCCCGCCGTTGATCACCTGCGCACGGCCCCACACGCTCGCACTCCGGCCGCGCCCCGCCGCGGTGCGGAGGCGGACCGACCACCGAGGTAATCAACATTTACACATGCCTAAGTGTTGTTAATGTGGGATCAACGTACATCGCACGAAAGTTCTTTAACCATTCATAAGTGTAACCGATATCTACGACGGCTGAATATTCGAATAATGTTTAGAAACCATTTCTATGATATTGGAATTATCAGGCAATACACGTAAACCCCAATTGTGGGTAACAACTGAATGGCAAATCCTATATGTAATAAGCTTACTGTAATTTTATTTGTACAATGACAAAATTTAGTAACGTATCTTCATCACAACATTAATCAAGAAGACACAGCTATTTACTTATACTTTTATTCGCTGTGTTGTAGAAGAATGTTTATAGCATTTTTGGTTAAAATAGTGAAATTAATCAAAATCATTTATTCATCGACATAAGAAACATATATTTCATCTATCAATGGTTTTTTTTAATCTACCACCGTTTCGTAATGAGATTACTCTAATTCTTCAGCATATCGAAATAATATAAAACCTTTCTTTACCATTGATTCCGAAAATTGACATCCTTAAAAAATCATAAAGCTAAAATTAAAACCTTTCTTCGTGTTTTTGGGAATACATCGGAGTTTGTGTTTTCGGATTTTTTTGTTTTGACTGTGGTATTAAAATGGCCGTATCACTTATTACACTAGTGTCTCAAGTACGCACCGAACCGGGTAGAGTTTTTTGACAATCAATAAGTAAGTGTAATGCTTCTATATTGAATAAAGATAGACTTCTATTTGACTTTGACAATTGAAAACTGCGCCGAACTACCATTATTAAGTCGAAACATCCCGGATTTTTGCTTCGGTATTTACCGAATGTTTGTCCGACAGCTATATAACCTGCACATTTATGAGGCATATGTGATAAAAAAGTTGAGTGCATACTGCGCAGCGGGCGTCGCTGCCGAACCGCGTGAAACCTGCGAAGATATGGCGGTGGACGTGCTGAGCGAGAATTGGCGACGATGTGTCGCGGCGGCGTTTTTGCTCGGCGCAGATATGCTGGCGAGCAAAAACGCCACGGTCGCGGCCACGTCCGGCCGGTGTAACGGGCGCGCGCGCAAAAACGCCCGCGCACGCCCAGGGCTACCAACGCACTCACCAGGGCGGTGAGCTCAGTGATTGTAGCACAACGGACACTTGATAAGGCAGCGAATCACCGAAGAGCCGTTTTTGGTATATGAGATTTTCGTAGGATTCGCCATTTGAATAATCTTAAGATACGAAATGCTTAGAATTTATCACGTTTTTAACGGTGGTAGGACCATGTCACAGTGTTAGCTGTTGCACGAATGGGCAGGTCCGTCCGGGTTAGTACCACGACCTCACAGAAGACCGGCTTCAACTAGAAGTGTTACACTTTCTCACATAAAAAAAAACAACATTGAAAATAAGTATGACATACTATATGCCTTCCGTATACAATGTATTAGGGAGTCGTTAAGTCGAACAAACAAATCAAAGTCCAAGAAGTAAAGGGTTAAAACGAATATCCGTCCGCATGCACTCATTCCGTAGCGCTAACAAGAGAACTGAACAAGAATGCGATTGCGATAATCGCTCACCAACCCTGGTTATGTACGTGAATGAATCGATGCGCCGGTGCGAAGGCCCGATAGCCGCCGACAGCGTCTCCGCTAAATATTTCAGCTTGTAATTGCGCAACTCGCAATTCCCTTCCGTCAAAGCGTCGCATCATTACACGCTCGAATTAATGGACGCCCCCACCCCCTCCCCCCGCCCCCCAGCGCCCACCCCTCTCGGCTGCGAGGAAAAAAGCAGCCGGCGAAAGCGCCTAACCCTGCGGCCGACCGCTCATTTATTATGGAAGCAAGACCGACGGGTAAAAACGTGGACGTCTTTAACTCCACCTGCGACCCGCTTGTGGCAGGGCTGCCCCGAAAGGATACGGCACTCGATTGAGAGTAACAGGGCTTATTACCATAGTAAGGCATGCACTTGAATATTCAGATGCCTCTCGTACAGCAAATCAAAGCATATATCGAGCAGCGATAATAAGTACATTAAGGGCTTTGTCGGTGTTAGTACCACAGATTAAGTAAGACCATGCAACAGTGTTCACTGTTATACCAATGGGTAAGTACAACGACCTCACAGAAGACCGGCGTAAAGTACAAGTCTTACAACTTCTCCGTTTCGTGTGAGTGAGGTAGCACAGGCCCACTTTATTTAAAGGAACCCTACGGGTGTTGCAAATGTCCATGGGCGGCAGTTATCACTTAACAGGGGCGGAACCGCCAGATCGATTGCAAAATTAAGAATGAAAGTTGAAAACTAAAAGCACTTATGGCTCAACTCGTACCACCTTTGCAGAATTACCTGTTATAACAAAAGTAGCTCCTGACAAGTAACAATGCACGAGCTACCCACTAAACGTATGCGAACACAAAGGGAAGTCAGATAAGGATAAGCGTCGTGGAGCCTGCAATATTATGCACCAATTACCATGCGCTAGAAGCTTCTATGGTAATGTACAGTGTGTTCACCGGTTCGGGGCCGAGCGCAGACGTCACTTTACAAAACTCTAATAGTATACATAAATATTAAGTAACAGATCAGAATACGAATTGTTTAGAAATTCAAACGATTCGCTATAAATGGCATAGAAGCCGCTTATGATTTGGCAGCAGACCCTGACGTACCCTATTAGCTTTGGTCACGAGCATGAACGTCTCGCTAGAAGCGGCCAATTCTAAAATGGGATGGGACTCGATTCGAATTCTGAAAACAATTTCTGTAATAGTAGTAATGCCGGTATTACTACTATTGTTGGAATTGTTTTGAGTAATCGCAATATAGTCTGCGATGAACAAAGGTGTCGAACCAACATTTCCAGGGACGATCGAGGAACGGGCGGTCAGTTCTAAGCGACGGGGGCTCTGGGCCCATATATTGCGACCGCAGTGGGGCTGCCGGCTTAAGGCGGTGTAGGAAACTTTATTAATTTACAGAGCTGGGTGTGGGAGAGAGGGCGGCGAATTTCACGCCCCGGCGGCGGACAAAGCGCCGCCGGGGCATTACTCCGCTGGCCAGCGGGTGGCTTCGGCGCCCCAAGAATGCCAGACGGCAAGTGTGTAACACAAGAACTACTCCGGTCGATTATTGAGATACTGGCACAACTCGGAAAGCGCCTTAGAGATATTTCTTGTGCTACACGTAAATTACCGAAAAATTTGTCTTATTTGCACAAGATCTTTGCAAGAATATGGTCTTTGTCGTGTCATATTTGTGTTCTAACCGATCTACTACGTCTGTTTATTCCAATAAAGACAATGGGGAAAAGAAATATTCGTTCTGAAGATAATAACGCAGACGAAGTTGAAGTGCTTAACGAGATGGCGACAATCCATCGGGCTATTGTCCGTCTCTCCTTACAATTAAAAAAATGACAAGGACAAAGGAATTTCTAATTTGCAGCCGGGCACAGAATAAACAAATGTTACGTAAGGAGCAGACGTTAAAAAAGGAAAATCCGAGAGCCTTGTTTCGTTCTCACAAAACGATTTAAACGTAGTTGCTCCCGGGGAAGGGGAACCATAGCCGAGAAGACAACAAGTGAATTGCCACTTATTACTTACACGCTCAGCCATATACTAAGCTAGCGAAATAAACGTATATAGCTATATATATTTGAAACTAGAATTTATTTAATTTTTGGCTCTAGTTATAACAGAAACATATTGATGACTCCGTGGCGCAGTTGCCAAGGTATTGGCTTCGGCGTCGGGGGTCGTGGGTTCGATCCCCACACGGGACAACTATTCGTGTGACCCACAGATAGTTGTTTCGCATCTGGGTGTTTGTCCACGTGAAATTTATATTTGTAAAACATCCTTACAACACAGGATAATGTTATCCTAAAGGGCAATGTTTTTTTAAAAATAACGTAACATATGTATATTATTCAAGTTCATTATAATTTAAACCTAAATGAAATTAGTGTAATTAGATTATAAAACAAATTCGCTATCGTCGCCTTAAAAATCTGATAAAATTAATAGCATTTGCTATCGCAGCCACGATAGGAAAATACATGAAGACTTTTTTCTTAAATAGGTTAGGGATGTACTACTTACATGAATGTAATAATTTCATAACCCAAACAAACTTTTTGATAGTTTTTACACATGACTGGTGCTTATCATGACGTATAGAAAGATGGTCTACATTTGTAAGGTGACATGATGAATTTAATGACCCTCTGATCTCTGGCTAATTTCATACAAAGCGAATTTTATTTTTCTTGGCGACCGTGTTCACACACAGTTATTGAGCGTCACTTATCTGTCAATTAAGATTGGTTATTTAGCCTTTCGTCATGACATTAAATCTGAAAACTACTTACACAGCATTACCCAGCTTAGATGCTATTCCTTTATTATTTCCATTAAAATTCGGCTCATTTTGATCAAATAACTTGATAGCGGTTTAGAAATTTAGTATAGTCCAGGAGAACCGACCATTGATTTTACAATTTTTTTTTCTGAATGAGAGTATAGAACGAAATGGTAAAAAATTAACAAAATCTCGCTAGTGCAGACCATGATTTCCTACAAGAAGAATCCCTTAAAAGGTTTTATCAATGTGTACATAATAAAGAAGACATTACTATCCGTTCTGGGTAATAAAAAGAAAATATTACTCCAAAATCCCTCTTGAACAAATTTAAACATTTTGAATTTCATACAAAAAAAATATACGCCATCAACTCGTAAAATTTAATTACTCGGATCCAAATTTACTCGGGCTAATTATAGTTGGAAAAAATGTCGTCGAAAGCACATCCACCCCGTGGCGAGCGGCGCCCGACAACCACCCTTAAGTCGTTGCGTTAGGGTCGATTTTTCGTCGGTCGCAGATAGCTCTACGGCGACAATGGTTTGATAGCACGCCGTGCTCCCGATCTATCTAACCGCGTTGAGTACGCGACTATTTCCATTTTAACTACTTCGGCCACCACGATAATTGGTCGAGTGCTGCAAATACGACTTACTTAATACGAATTACTTTGCAGTTTTTGGTCAAACGTCAAACAGTGCCGGCTCCATACAGCCAGATCGACAACCTTCTAAACTCGTACGCCTCATAAGTGCGGTAAAACCTGTCATATTACGTAGCTCAAAAAGGACCGTTGTCTCGTCCGTAATATTCGACTAATCTCCGAGCTACATCTCTTTCATCAACTGCTCTCGGATCTGTAATTTTCGCGGCAGTCCCCCAAGGTCGTTGACCCGCTCCGCCGTATTTCACCTCCTAACGCAATATAATTAGGCGAATGTTTTCGTCCAGAAACACGCACCCATAACGGACCGTTAATTGACATTTTAAGCACCCCTGCTGTCATCGTCTGTGTAATTTTTTTTTCTGTAGACTACGGTCACGCTAAACAAAATGTATCGCGCACTGATCTCAATCGTAGCTAATTAATATTGCGATAAAGTTTTTTGAACTTGTTCGTGTCTATAACATATAATATTAACAGCGCACAAAGTAAACAAAAAGGTTCATAAAAATTCCCTTCAGCATTGAAACTAAGCTCGAGTCGTCGAAGTCGTAAAGTTTTAAAATAGGGTAATTGAATTAATGTTTATAAGATATTTCGACAGAAAATTTACGTTCTAGATTCTGTAGACTACAAAGTATCACTGTAGAGATTCGGATGAGATTGGCGAAAACTATGCGGGACGCCATCTGATAGCTAAAACAATATTCAGTGTAAATGCCATGCTGCCTTAAATAACGACCTTTGCCTCCTTTGTATGCCAAAACAAGTTATGTGTAGTGAGTAAGATAAGAAATCTATTTAAAAAAAATTAACATAAATTAAGAGAGCTTAATATTCTTAATTACTCGCATAATTATAATACTATCGTAACGTTTAGTATAATTACACTACACGTTTCGATAATATTAAAATGTAAAATTTATAGTTGTATAGTTGCCATAAGTAATTGTACGAGTAGCTACACAGTAAGTAATATAGAAAAGATGACAAGTTCTAAAGATATTATACAAATATGAAAACGCACAAAATATATGTTTTTTTTTAAAGTTTATCAAAACAGCATATATTATACAGGCTGATCGTTGAACAACAGCCTTTTATCGCCTAAACTTTTACAACAACGTTATTAATTCTTAATCCCACAAAAAGAAGCACATTAACTGTAGATGCACGAGTGGATGCCATGAAAATCATAAAAGTTGGAAATATTTTCCGTGGAAATGTACATTAACGTGTCAACGGCGGGCGTGTTACTGTCGCATGCACGGACGATTAACAGACAGTGGACTGTGGGCGATAAGGGGCGTGATGAGGTCACCTCGAGCTCCTCCTCCGAGGAGTGGTGGTCGTAGAGCTGGTCTGGTTCCGGGGCGCCCCGCGGCCGCGCAGCCGCCTCGCCGTGCGCGCCTGCAAAACAACACCGTTACAACTTGCCACACAGCTACACAATAACAATATCCTCCCGTAATCCTCTTCGTGAGGGTCACGACCTCTCTCATTCACTCCGTTTCATCGAATTAATTCAGATTCTCGGATATTGCATCACCGACTCCTAGTCCTTACGTGTTACGATTACGATTACTTTACATAAACGTGGGAAACGATGTGGAGTTGGTAACAAATCTTTTGAAGTTGTACTTCTTTTGGCTCGTTTGGGAAAATTATGGGAGTGAATGTGGGAGTGAGTGAAAATTACGATGCTCAACAGTTAAAAGCGACACCAACTTTATTTTGATAGTTACTATAATTCCAAGTTATTTAATTTAACCGTTTAATTCCTTCTTTACACAAACAAAGAGTTCTGGCACACGTGATGAAATTTTTATTTATTTTTCTTTTGTTACAAAACTAAACGAAACAAAACTAAAGTAGTATAATTTCTTACGTGCGTATGTAAGTTTAAACAAGTTTTTTTTTAATATAAAACGCTCGTAAGCGTTGTATAAAGTAGAAAGGGTTCATTTGAATAGGTGGCAATTGAAGATATATGCATATCGCCGATCGTAGTGACGGATGGGGAATGTTCCGTATCCGTATCACGTAACAGCTATTGCTTGGCAAATGTCGGTGACGCGGGGAGCTCGCGACCTGAAAACGCACGGCGATGTATGAAAATATTAGCGATGCAGCGGAGGCTAAGCACCCCACGCGGGGCGGGAGGGGGGGTAGCGGGCACGCGGGGCGGGCGGAGGGGGGGGGGGGTGAGGATGGTCTTGAACTTGCAGGCCGCCGAGCCCAGCCCGCGCGGCGCCTTCCACAACCCCACCGGCGCACAAACAAATACGTATGCACACAAAACGTGTTGTGCAAATCGCCCACCATCTATCCCCATTACGTGCAGTATTGCGACGGAGTAGGATTCCCAATAGAAATCGCCGCCTGTTTGCTTTGCGTGCGTCGTGCAAAATGTGTTAAGAGCCGCCGGTAATCCCGTGCCAAACGGCCAATTGTCTATAATATTGTATATTTGTTCTATAAACGATGATGTTCCAAGCGATGTAATGAGCGAAACTGAACACTCTTATCAGTCCCTACTCCGCTGAATAGCCAACTGACTAAGAGCTCTACGATGGAGGCAGTTAGATAGCAGCCTTGCCACATGTAATATTTATTCCACACAGACGTTGGAAACTATCGTTTCGGTTGCATTTATGCATGAGACGCTCAGGGGATAGGGAATTTTTAAACAACGTTCCTGCCTGCTTCATTTAAATGGCGCGGGCTTCATAAAACGCTGAAGGAACAATTTGTTGGAATTTTCGCATTAAGCGGTTTACGTTTCTCCGTAGAAACATAATATTATATAATAAGATTAATACGTAATGATTATAATTATATCATTATGTATACGTGCCTTATTATTATGATGATTTACTGCAACTTTATTCTGAAAAGTTTTAGGATCGGGAATATATTCAAAAAGGCAAATAAGGTAAAGTACCAGCACGTCGCCGTTCGCTCGACCGTAGGAAATTAGAGTAACGTCTCGCCGTCATCAGTAACCAAATAATTAAGCCATTCGTTGACACGCAATTCCAAACAATTTGTAAGTTTATCCGAGAATAATTTGCATTAATGTGTTTGTTTGTAACGCGGCCGTACATCGTTACGTGCCTATTATTGTTTGCTAATTAACATTGATGCACTGGTGCTGGTTTGTTGTTGTTTAATGACTAATTCGACGATGTAAGTGGCACCTAAACTTGAATTTTACTATGATTATCTATATTACTGCATTGTGCATTTCGTTATCTGCAACTCAGACAAGAAAGATATATTATACCCACTATATAACAGAACGTAGACTACTTTCTGACAAAATTACTGCATTTTGGAAAGTAGGGGCACAGACTCCATAGAGTTAGTATTTGTATCTTAAGATATACAGACCCATTAGAAACATTACAACAAAACATTGTCAGTTGAAAACAGTTGTAAACCTAATTAAATATTAATTTATTATATAAAAACTGAAGATAAAGAGAGACCAGGCCACATGTATGAACCTGTATTAGTGAGCAATCAAAAATTTATAATACAAAAAATAATTAAAACAAAAATTACAACGTGAACATTCTATAACTTTGTAACTTCAAGCAGGTGAGGATTTCCCCGGACGAGACCATTTGTACGTCAGAAGCGAAGATCACCGTAGACAAATAGTTTGCAATCATATAGATGCCAGTTACCAGGGCTCTCTCTTTAGTTATGGAAAAGCATCTGTAACCCTACACGTGCTGTATATGGTCAGAAGACGGTAATCAGTTAGCATGGTGAACCACTCTCTTATCTGCCGCGATTATGTGAAAGAGAGTTTCGAATTGAAATTACTCGATTCGCGAAAACGGGCGCAATCACGTCGGGCGATACGAAACGGCAGCGAGAGTGCAGCGCGCCGCGGTTAGGCCCTGGCCCGAACTAGGTCGCCGGCGGTCGTTGCTCCTCGAAGGTTCAACAGATATTTTTCTACCCACCTAGGGACCGCGTGGCATCGCGGACACGCTCTAACCAACATCATTCACTATTCCGAAGACCGAAAGACTCGGAGAAACGTTCTACGTATAGAAATCACTCGACGAATCGTAGTAGAGTTTCACTCGATTCATTTTATGCGCTATCTTAACTGCCCATACGTATGTATAAATGCAACGGGCGTTTTGAAGCATTACGTGAAGCGAGATTGCGAAATTGAAGAACATAAACATATTATGATCACTGACTTTTCAACCCCGCGAGCGATATGTAACTAATGCAAAACGCAATGTTGTCAATATGTCACACTGTCGTGTGCTGAGATAAGACAATAGAATGGCTAAAATAGCATATCTCCATCCGTCCTTTTCTGTTTAACACGATTTATTATTGAATCGTTTTAGAAAGGATGAAACGAGGCAGTTAGACTCTCGGAGCGTTGAGAAATGTAAAAATAACGTAGAAAATCGTTAGGAGATTATTTGCAGGGCGGGGGGTGGTAGTGGGGGTGGGACGCGGTTTTAACTTAACCAGTTGACGTGTTGCTAAGCGGGCCGTTTGTTTGAACGAAAGATGTTTCAAGTGATGTGATTATATAAACAGAGTCTACGCAAGTCATTTGTGCACGACAAAAATATTTTCATGAATTCTCTTAGAAGCACGACAAAAATCTGTTGTACGACCAAAAAAATTTAGAATTAAATCTTAGGTGGACCAAAAGTATAAGCGGCTTACTGACTCCATCTAACAACACCTATATTGGTCTTATCGATTCTTACGGATTGCTTAAATTTAAGTACTTCAATACTTCTATAGAGATTCAGAATTTTAATGGAATCGTACTTCTATTTAAACCTTAATTTAAACAATCCGTAAGAGTTTAAATATCCGTAAGAATATTTAAGATTATACATTTGACAAAGCCTAGTTACCAACACTATTTCTGAACAAAATTTGACTGACTCACGTACATCGCAAGACTCCAAATCATGTCGATTTTGTATTGTGGACCACGAACTGTGTAATTGCTATTAATATAAATAAGATCGTAGTTCAAATATCAGATAGTGTATATCTTCAATGATAGATATATGTATATCCATACATTTAGATTTTTCTAATTAATAAATAATCTCAATCAGACGAAAAAGAATTATTATAAAATACTTAAATAGCGGTGCACTAACAAATCCAATTTAAATGTCAATATAATACTTTTCAACATTAATACGAATTATTGTTTTGTGATATTACTATATCGTAATGTAAAGTTAATTATAAAGTTAATTAATTATAATCTCGGAGGATATGACAAATTAACTCTTACATTGCACATATCACACACTGTATACCGAATGTTCCCTTAAAGCGTCATCACATCAAACAGGGAAAATGGTTTAATCGAATTAACATACAACATTATGTGACCCGTTTAGTGAACATCGTCACGGTCGTAACGAATAATTTAAGGTGTGGTAAGATCGGGCTCACATTGGGGGTACGAATGGTCGTTTTAAGGCGAACGAAACGTTTCTAATAGCACACAAACAACAGTGTTCCGTTGAATAATTGAAAAGCCCCGACTCAGTCCGTCGCATCGTCCGTCGTTCTCGCCGCGATGCTATCTCATTGTCGATCGTGGTTGTAGTTACTTTAAGAGGTCCAGTTCGTATCACCTGGTGATAGAGTTGATATCGCGACCGGTTCGCGTTCGACGGCGGCAAACGGTGAATTTGTGTAGCGGCGGATCAAGATTCAATGCGCCGTTGACGCGGGCGAGTCACGAAATATACGGCGACCATAAATTATCGGCGACCGTCGGATTGTCCGGTTTATTCATCGAGATTAACCGCCGATTTATTCCCACCGGCCGAACAAAAACTCTAAGGACGTCACTTTTCAGCGACCGAATGGCCTTATACGATATACATCACGACTCTCTTAAAAATACGATTGGGTCGATAAATCGCGCACGTCTTCTCGGTAATGAGCGGAAATACGGTACTGCGTCAATTATCTTTTCCGTATGAATCTTCCTTCAGCTTTTAAAGATGACCTATTGATATTTATAAATTTCTCTGAAACAAGGTTAACGGTTTACATGAAGCTCATGAATTTTTTATCCAAATTGCAAATTGTTTACATTAAATAAGACAATAATTAACAGTTTTATTCTAATGTTTTCGGTTTATTTTGTTCTGCTTTCTAAGAAAGAGTAGTATGATAAGGATTTCGTGTGTCTCGTCCATTGCAAAGACTTTACTATGGACTGTTTAATGAACAACTCGTATACATATTTTCTACTCAGAAGCAGGAAAATCCTTTTTAATATCGTGTACAAAACACACTTAATGACCAGTTTGTAAAAAGTACTTGTTTTCATAAATAATCCCATGGATTTTTTTCCAAAAAAATAAAACTATCAACACGATATT